AATAAACTGTAAACATCTGAAAATAAATCCTGCGACAGTAAATAAAGACGTTTCTTCGTATTGTAGAATACCTGCGTGTATATTGTAGACGTTGTGCTAAGTCGTACCAACAGCATTTCGACAACATTGACGACATTTAGGACGGTCTTTAGAGTAATAATGGTTTACGGCTTCTTACACTATAATAATATATTGAATACGTTTAAACGATTGCTATATACAAGCAGGTTATATAAATGAACCAAGACGTATACAATCGTCAGTCGTTATTACATCTGGAAGGCCATAAACCTAATTTGATGTACCTACCATTTTCTTTGAATTAAAAAAAAAATAGTGATAATAATAAATTAGTAAAATATGTATTACAGACTATAATATTGTTACCTTTATAATAAATAACATAACTACAAGAATTATTCATGATTAATTTAGAATAATTTATTATACCTATAGCGTTGCAGCTTTTACGCCATAATACATTCGACCATTTTTTTTTTTTTGAAAAATCGAGAACCATTACATTATTATTATTATTATTATTATAATTTATATAATTTAAAAATATTATATTCATTTATGAGAACATACTACAATGTGCAGTTTAATTTTTGCACTTTTTGCGTTTTTAAAAACGGATATATAAATTTATTCAACCACAAATGTTAGTTATTATATATAATAATAATGAAACCATGTACAAAAATATGCGGGTCCCCTATTTATGATTTATAAATTCAAAGCTATTCATGTCGATAGAGGTATAACGATCGTTACAATATTTGAATACAAAATTATTAATACCTACATTTAATATATTTGTATGTTTAATCGTCTTTTATGATGCATAGTATAAATATAACGTAAATTCAATTCCAAACAATTTTGATGATCGGTTTTTAAAAAAAAAATTGTTTTTACTCAAAAATTGGTTTTATGATTAAATATTTTTTGTAAAATTTAACTTTGTACGGTACGTTTACATTGTTTGAGTACCTTTTTTTTCGCACGATCGTATCCAGATACGTAATATTATAATGACATATAATTACTATAATTTTCTCGGTGGGCGAAAAATAAAAAAAAAAAATGAAAAAACTCTTTTAAATTTGTCGGCAGATGCCTATTACTGCACGAATATATGATGTACCTCCGGTGGCGTGGGTGCACTTCCTGGATATTTTCTTCGCTGGCGCTCTACATTATATCAATTATTAATAATATATCGTGTGACAAGTGTCCTAAAACCGTCATTAGCCGGACGTAAGACACCGCTCGGCCACATCTAAGGTGACGGATAACATCTCAAAAACATTCTTCGTAATATCTCGTTGTTGTTTCAATTGAGTTTTCTCACAGTCATTATTTAAAAACCCCGAAGTGGAAAAATGACAATATATATTATTAAATACAACGTCCACCGCGGGAGTATTACCCCGTTTGGTTGATTAATTATATCCACAGCGTATGTATCATATATTATTATCTGCATCATTTATAGACTCCCCAACAAGCGTCTATGTATACAGACGACGACAAACAAAAACGAATCCGCAAAACAAGTACGCGAACATCATCGGGGTGGCATGTGTGTTTACACTATTATGATTATGATTATTACTATTATTAACCTCTATGCCGTCACTCTTTCTCTTGCTGCACATTCATAGTGCATGACTAGTAATTTTTCGGATAAATCCGATCGATTGTGATGCCGATCTTTGCAGATGCACCCCATCCCTCTCGAAACAATATTGTAACGTATTATAGGTATTATGCGGCGCCATTTATAATAACGCTACGTTATTCGATATTTGGGAATATATAACCGTAATACGGGAGTACGGCGATGATACCGGGTATATCAGGGTAGGGGGTGGAAAACGGTAAAATTAGCATGAGGGTGTCTACCGTCTGCTTTAAGTCTAATGTGGCTTAAATACGTGTCGGTGAGCTTTAAAATATTATAGAGTTTCCTACTCCGTGCACACACACACGCGCACACACAATGTATGATCGAACAACGGTGTATCCGGTCCACATAAACATGCAGCGTGTGCATGATGGATATATAAAATTTATATATTATTATATTATAAACGCGTCCACGATAACGGCTTGGGTCTGTATAGTGTAGTACCTATTACCTTTACTGACGGTGGCATTCAAATTCACAGTGACGGATCTGACGTAGAAAAAAAAACATAAAATAAATAAAACTGAAAAAACGCCGTAAACCACCTGCGCCCGCGATCGCACACCTGTTTCGGACGTCCGAGACTCAATTTAACACGATGATTTCCAGCGCTATTGTTACATCGGTTTTCACCATTGCAGTCGTCGTCGACCGTTCTGCTGCTAATCAACAACGCCATATCCGTCCACGGCCGACGGGGGGGCCTCGGCTGATGGGACATACGGCGAATGGCCATACACATAAAAAGCCAAAGCCTTTACGATAAATAACACACCTACCTATGTATGGTAAATATGTGTCGAAAGCAATTTATTCGGTCTTTACATAAGACGCTATATGAGTTCATTGAGCAATTATTATTATTATGATCGTATAATATATATACGTACACCTATCTGCCTTATCGTTATAATTCATTTATTGGTCGTAATAACTTCCGACGACGGTTATATACTAATTTACGCACACCAACCGGTCCCCCCTCGGAAAAACGGATTTTTGAACGAAATTGCCGTCAAAACCGTTTTCCATCTCAATCGATTAATCATTATTGTTTAAATTCAATGTTGTAATTATAAAATAATATAGTAATACTTCAGTTATATGAATTTTTTTCCCAATACTCAACTGACATTTTGTCGAAACATTTTTCTACGATTACGATCCAAAATATATTTATTGACTCATATACGACGCAGTATAATATTATAATATATTTATTACGGCAATAATAATTATGTTATGTCCTACATCCGAGTGTAGTAAATTTTTATTACACTTATTAGGCCTATACGAATAAATTGAAATTTGTAATCTTTTTTATGTATTGATGTATTGTCCGTCTCATATAAATAACCTGCACATTGATTAGGTAATATAATTATGATAATATCAATCGGTAGTAGTTTTTTTTTAAATTTTTTATTACTTTTAATATTTATTCGCATTTTGTACATCAACGAGGTTTATAAATAAATACACAACCACATGAAAATGTAAATATAACAACTACGTGTTATCGATCCGACTACCAAACATATTATTATTGTCTTATAACCATATAAATTACCTACCAACGTAAATTAACGATATACACGCATATAATATTATGTTAATCAGAATTACATACTTTGTCGGTACAAATGATACAGATACTAATTATATGTATACACAATCATTGTGAATGGACATGGTTTATTTATTTTAATATTATTTATACTTTAACGTATTTTTATGCACATTATTGAATTTATTCACGCAACCCTATTATTCTAGCCGCCACTGTAATTATATTTAGAACACAGTCAATTGTGTTAATTGTGTATTTACGAAATATTAAAACTAATCGAACTGTTATATAGAATTAATTAAAACGATCGATTTTGTACATAATATTTTACAAATTTGTTAGCATATATTATTTTAGTCACATTGGCCATTAGGGATATACAAATTCTAGATTTTTCCTAGAAAATAAAACTCGTTTAAATTCAGTTAGCCGAGTGCGAAAGAACGATAGATATGAGAACCTAAAGGATATGTACTTGTATTATCGAATTTTTGGTGTTAGATTAAGTATCATGTACGAATTTATAAATCTTCAATATAAATATGATAAAAAAAAACAATAAAATATAGGTAAATATCTATAGTTATAATATGATGTCTGCGTGACAATGTCTACAATTTGTCACGTATCACGTAACGATATTGTTCTACAGATTGTATTGTAATTAGATGCGTTGGGCCTTCCCGGGCCGTGAAAAATTATTCAAAGGGTATCCTTTTTTGCTCTATTATTATTATTATTATTATTATTATTTTTTGTATCAGTTTTTATTTCCGCACGAACTGATTGCTGATTTACGACGGTTGATCGTTCATAAAAGACACGAACAACGTTTACAAAAGAATATGTCTAAGTGGCCCGGTTAGGAATCCATGGGAGAATATGTATCGGTATTATTTTGCGTCGAGGATGGTCGTATATACCTGGAAATTTATGAGCTCAGCGCAAAGGGGTTGGCGAATTTGAAAGGGAGAATCGAAAAAACATCGACTTGTTACCGGGTACATGTATATGTGATGTACCGCTCGGCGGAGATACGATGAAAACGACGACAAAGAAATAGCTCGGTGTGTACGGCACCGCACCTATTGTTCTAGGGTGGAAAAAAATGGACGAAAGAGTACCTATTTTTTTCACATATGTATAAATGCATTTTATATATACCTACCCTCGAAATAGAGCGGTTTTTATTCTACCGCTCTGCCACCACTGCTGCCACTGTCGTTCAGTGGCAGATAATATGCTAATAAGTCACTCACGTGTATATACCGCATGGTTGTCACGACGACGGACCGTGGTATAGATCATTTCTCGTTTACAAACGACTAAATCGGTTATGCGCCGATACGCCGCTTACGTGCGTATATATGCTAAGTAGGCGATAAACAATGCAATTCATTTTCCGGAACCGCCTGTAATAAATAAATAAATAAATAAATAATGACACTAACCGGAAACCTGGTGCTGTACCTAACTGACGTTTGTTATTATCTCACCGTGTTTTTTAATTTTTTTATGTTAATAATACTTCTACTACTATTATGGTTAATTGTATAACCAAGAGTTTGCCTAATTGACTGGATAGTATGCGAGAGTGATTGACGCCCAAGAAAAACGAAATAATGTACACCGCAATAACGTATGATTCGAATACTTGATGATATAAAAAAAAACCCCATAACTCTTTTGGATATGTTGTTATTTATACACATTTTTTGTTTCTCACACTTACAGATAACTGTCGGCAATGTTAAAGTGGACCGTGGCTGGACAAAGGGGCGGGGGAACGACGACGTGGAAAAGGACGACGGTGGTAGACGAATCGCCGCAGTGTTTTTCGGAAAAGCCGCGGCGAAGACGACCGTCCAGGATGTCTGGAAAACACGACAAGGAAAATGCCGAGTGCGTGGTAAGTTATAATTTATCAAAAAGAAAATTAACATTTCATTTACAATCAAGTAGTGTAGAATTAACATTATACTATTAGATGATAATATAATGTGAATATGCGTCAAGACAGAGGTTAAGGTTATGGAATTAAAAAGATTGATTAGTAACTATTGTTATATAATTTAATATATCTGGTGAGATTGATTTTGTTTTCGATAAGTGATGTTTTAATACAGATAGTGATAGATGATATCAAAAAGGTTATTACCTATGTGTTGACATAGTTGCTTGAAGATCATAAAAGTCACATGTTTCTCTAAGTATTTAACACACATACACATAATTTAGCATATAATCAATAGATTGGATGAAGTTAAGTTAATTTATTATAATGTGTGGTTATGTATATCTTACTTAAGTATAGGTATACACAGTATCGTGCATAATTTATTTATTCCTTAAGAGTTAAGAGTATTCTAATATACCTACTATTTCGTTTTAATTTTCATACTAGTTTCTTTTATTTTTGTATTAATGTGATTTTATAATACAAAAATAAAATTATTACAGTATGCTTGGGTTTGTTTACGAGAATCCAATAAAAAGTATCTTTAACGATTTAACTGATTTATTTTTGCCCCTGAAACATTATGTATTTTGTTTTACTTGTCAACTCTTTTAAAACTTGATATTAAAACCGTTATATTTTTGTCATTCATAGGACGTGTTAACACCGACAACAAAGACGAGTCGTCGACGTCGCCGAGAGAGCTTGAGAGACGTAAGCAATCACAATAGCCCGGCGACGGGAGCGTTGCAGATGTCGCCGGGCAGCAGACGAACAAAAAGTCCCTGCACGGAAGTCCATTGGATGCCTGTGCAAAAGAGGTGAGACACTACATAATAAGTTACCGCATCGCGCGATAATACGAATGTAATAAATGATAAATCCTTATAGTACCTTTTGGGTACAATATGAAAAAGTGTACAATTATGATTCTCAGCCGATATTTAAAGAAAAAAATATCGGTGTTTTAAAATAAAATTGTTTGTTTTAAGAAATAAAAATTTGTATACGCGCGGATGTGTTTGATTAACTGTTGAGATAATCTTAAGTTGCACGATACACTCTAACGTCTAATTGTTATCGACTTATACAAATTTTAGATTAAGAATAGTTTCAAATGTGTACAATTTACATCTACACTATTACAGTTTTCGAACATTCACATAATTTTATTTTAATCATCCATCAGAATAAGTTAAGAAATTTAACTTCAAAATCTTTTTTTATCTCTTTAAAGTATAAAACCAGTATTGTTCGTAGATAAAATATTATTTCATTAAATGTATAATGAAATGATAATTTAACAACAATAACATTCATTTTAAATTTTAATACAACAGATAGAATGTATATCGCAAATAATTGAGCACGAATAAACCGCACGATTATCTATTTACTTATACCGGAAACACGCGATATTATTTTGTCAAACGCATAATAACTTTATTAATAATATATAATACTTATGACCGCACGCAATTACATGAAACGCAGGTTAGGTAAATCTAACGTAGATTTACCAGTGTAATGATAGCGTTTACGCGATAAACACGTTTTTGTTTGTTTATTTTTTTTATCGTTTCGTCGACATCATTATTTTCGGATTTAATGACTTTTATAATGTTAAAAATTAAAACTTCCGTTAAATTCACATGCCCACGAAAAGAAATTACTTTATGACAAGGCCTATAGATAATTCGTTTAATACGCATAAATATCACATTTAATTTGATAGCAAATGATGCGTAAGATTGTAAGAATGATAGAAATAACAAAAAAGCATTTGAGCGACATTTAGTTACAAATAAAAACATTTTATTTAATTTTATCAGAATAGTTCTGGACTGTGTTATTACTCTGTCTAGGACTACTGTTGTGTATTTAATTATATAATATATTGTATAACATTTGAGTTTTAAAACAGTTATGTATTACTATAAAATGAAACATAAGACATTGTAAAGGCTATTCAAAAACGAGGCGTTCTGCCTCCAAAACAAAATCGTTGTTTTTAATTCAATTATTGCTCTGTCGCAGACGATCCGGTGACGATCTGTGTTGGACGGACGACAAAGTGAAACGGAAAAAGCCGTGTACGGCTGACCACGTGATCTCAACGGCGTACGCGGCTGTCGCGACGTTCGCCTCCACACCAACAGCAGCAGTATCAGCAGAAGTCACCTCTGCCGTTACCGTCACCTCCGTGGCCGACGAGCAGCTATGCGTGTCCATGTCCCCTGCCGAAGAACCGGTTCAGCTATTGCACAAAAATTTGCCTGCGCTGCCGACGGTTCGGCTTCGCAGTCCGGGCGACTTGCGCGCGTCCAGGCTGATCGATCGGTACGTGGATCAGATCCGCATGGACGACGTCACGTTCGGTCGCGGAAACAACGATCGACTCAGCATAGTGTCACCGCTGGCTAAGCGACTGGCCGACATCCGGTTGCGACGATCTCCCGGAAAAACGACGACCACAACGACGGAGGCCTGCAAACGAAAACGATCGTTGTCCGACAGCGAAGACGATTGGCCGCCGACGCGCACGCCGATTGCCGGCAACAAACGGCCCACCGCCGCGTGGTGGTGGCAGTGCTCGGGCGGCGGCGGCGGTCTCACCCTGCCCGACGGCCTGCCCAGTCCGTTCCACTCGACGCTCGACCGTCACCGCGGCGGTGGCCCACTTCACCTACGGCCGACCCGCACGCCCAGCCCTATAACGCCGCTCCGCCGGCAGCCGGCCGCTGACGATTCGGACGACTATTGGAAGACGCCCGTCGGCCCGTCACTGGCCACCGGCGTCCGCGCCGACCGACTGCTGTCCACCACGTCGTCCACCACCGTCGACGACGAGATCATCTGCTGCAGTGATCCGCGCAGCCCGGCCGTGCTGGACGAAACGTTCACGCTCAAGTCCCGCAGGTGTCTGTCGTTCGTTTCTCCGCCGCCGTCAGACTCGTCGGCCAAGAAACGGAACCGGAAGTCACTGAAAAAACCGTCTTCCGCCACCGCCGACAAAGGTACGTTATCGTATAGGTACACGGACCATTCGAGATTTAATGTTTTCATAATATCCGCATGCATATTATATTAAATCGTAGGTATACAAACACGTCATAAATAAATTAGATTACGACGCGTGCGAGTTGATTCACCTGAATAAGCTGTATGGCTTGAGGCGGGGCAAATGAGTGATTAATATGTACAGTGAATTTGACATTTGAAGCGGAACGATTAGCGAATTAGTTTTACAGCGGAGATGCGTGTTTTTTTTTAACTTTCGTGTTTGATAAGACACTTTTTATAGCTCGATGTTTAACTCTGAGGGTGGTTTATCCTAAGTAGTAAATTTAATTTAGTTCGTTTTTTCGGGCCATTGTTCAATAATAATGTTAACTATGATTAGCTTGTCACAAAAAACATAATATAGATGTTTATTTAAATGAAGTTTGTCGTGAAATTTTGCATTACAATTATTAAAGTTAAGAATTGGCTTACGTCGATGTAATTTTAAGCTATGAATTCCAAAATGTTATTTTCTCTATTTCAAATTTTTATCTATGAAAATAAATTGACACGGTTTGGTCACACTTAATATACCATACCTAAACACGATATTATTTCGAAACATATTCAATGTACACATAAGTTAATTATTGTAATTCATGTTGATATCCAAAATATTCAGCTCCAAGCGTATTAGCGTCTAATTTCAATACATTTTTGTTTTAGCTTCCGGCCTAGAGGTATCCATTGAATTGAAAGACGCAACTCACTTAACTGTATTACGTAAGTTTATATATACTTATACCCATTGTATTCAATTTTTTAACTGTTTTGTATTTTACTTGCATTGTTTAATAAATAAACTTTTAATTGTTTTTGGTGTAGTTAAAAGAGGCAGAAATCTAGTGTGTGCAGATGGTGAACCGCCAAACACTTATATAAAGGTAAGATTGCCGCCATTGTTTGTTGGAATTGAATATTAGATTAACTTGAGTTTATTACTATATAGGTTTATTTAGTACCCGGTAAAGGGACTTGCCACAAAACCCGAGTACGGCACAATTCTACCAATCCTCGTTTCGACGAATCTTTTTCCGTACCACTCTCTGAGGAAGATCAAGATAAAAGAATATTGATATCCGCTTGGCACCGAGACAGATTGAAAAGGTAAAATTATCGGCACATAAATAATATTTGAATAATGTATTGTTTTGAATATTAAATATTTGTGAACACTTTCCAACAATATTTTACATTACTATAACTTCTATATATTTTCTGAATATGCCCCTTTTTATTTTTAATTTATTCCGACATTCACGATTTCAATGATTAATAATACTATATAAGTACCGGCTACGTAAACTTGAATATTTTATTCGATTTAACGTCGAGCTTATCTACGCACACACACACTTTAACATTATTTACGCTCTCCAAAAAGTTTAGTAAATTAAATTTTTAAAAGTTACGAATTTACGATTAAAGTTTATGTTTTATCTGAAGTGTACATCAAAATGTGAAACACAAACACACACATTCATGTTATATATTATGTTTACGGCTTTCGGAGTGAATTTAGAAACGTCTTTCGAGCGTCTCGTCAGTTTCTATTTAAGAATTGATCGTTATTGTTTCACGGAACAACCATTATATATGTGCGCATATTACGGCCAATACACACTTTTAGCCATCGATGTTTTATAATATACAACATACGCCCAGCCAATCCTATTACGGACTTTTATAATAAAACTCAACAGTATACCGAAATTACACGGTTCATGTTTCGTATCAAATCCAATACTCTCGCTACTATTTTCGCGAAGATTATCCAATTTTCGGAGTGTATTACCAACGGAACTTTATAACATAAAGGTAGTAATTGAAAATGATGACGATACGTTGCGTGTGAACTTTCGATCCATAGTCTCTACTGACCGATACAAAACGTCCGATAAACTATATTTTATAGCGTTAAATAAAAATGAGTATATTCAAATATTAGTTATCCTGATGAGAAATGGGTTAATCGAATAAAAGTAATATCCAATGAGAGATCGCTACGAACGTAATGCACTACAATAAATGTTATTCTTAACCACCGGAAAATTGCGTCACGCAAAAAAAAAGAAGACCCCTGGAAGATTTTGGAGCTGAAACATCATTTGCGCGTATTAATCTGCAGTTATTATAATAGTCAAATAACAAACACATATATGTTATACAGGTCGGACGTATTGTAATATTCTTCAATATTACGACGGGTTCATAATATACAGAGTGCTAACATTATCAAGCTAAATTGCTAGATTACCAAGCTTGATCATCCTTACTTTTCATTTAATAGTGGATTTATTCAAATTCTAATTTTTTTAATACTTATGATACTTTTAACATTTTTGAGATCTTTTGTACTATTTACGAGGTGTCCTGTGAAAACAAAGATGTGTATTTTACAAATTAGGACTTTTTTTAATTGGTGATTTTTTTTTTTCTAAGTTATAATGTGTCTAATTAAAATTCAAACGATTAATTTTTCAGTTATAAAAATGTTCATGATGAGAATAAAAACCTTTAAAAATGGTTTTAAAAAATATAATATTTTTATAATATTTAAACCATTTTTATTAATTATAAATTTTGATAAATTAATATAAATCATTAACATTTTCAAATTACCATAGCTCTCATATTTTTAAAACACATTATCATGGACCTATTATTCTTTCTACACAAAATGAAATGACTCAAAAACTACTAGTTTGAATTTTAACTTCGATACATCAATATTCTTAGAACTTATTTGTTAAATTATTTACTGTTGAAAATAAGGGTACTCATTTAAAAAACAAAATTTGTAACTTAACAGGATTCCTCCTTAAGTTATATAAAAAGTCTCAAGAGTTTTAAAATATAGTCTTTAATATATCATTTAAAAATTCCAAAAATTTAATTTATAATTATTAGATTACTAAAGAAAAAAAGGGTGAGCATGCTTGGTGAATCACTCTGTATAATAATGGATATGTGAAATCCTATTCACTTAATAGTATAATGGTATACCGTTTGAACACCATTTTTATGCAGCATATATAAGAGACGGTAATTGTTTGTGCGAACTTGACTTTATACGAGTCGATAAAAGAAGGGTTGTGCTGTAATAATAATAATAATATAATAATATAATATTCATTATTCTTTAGCAAACGTGTTGTGTGTGTGTGTATGTGTGTACAACAATAATATTTTAACTACACGAATATTACATACCGAGGTGTCAGTTGCGTTATATTGTGAAATGGTCCCAACGGCGGACGCTTCAGGTCATATTATATGTCATTATTAAACGATAACGCTTGGTTGCGTATGTTTACCGGAAAATGATATTATATTGTATATTAAACGTATATTGTGTTATATTGATTTGGTTTGGCCGCCTGGAAGACGCGCTTTCGTGATTACCGCGAGATCGGTATACGCGGTTGTAGGTATAAAAATAGTAATTTGTGTACACACGATTTCGATTGGTCTCGGCCGAAAATGTAATTTAATAATTAACTTAAACGCCATTTCTCATCGTTCTACCACCTGACCGTTCAGAGCGGGACTCCGAGACCATTACAAAGTGTACTGCGATATATCATGGTATTATATCATCGTACTACGCGATGACGGTGGCAATTATTGTTCTCTCCTATTAAATCTTAAACCGACCAGAACGCCATTTATTCTTTGGTCCGTCAAGAAGGACGATGTGCCTTGGTGCGGTTAAACGTGGAAAAATATCGACTCGGCAAAAACAAAAAAATAAAAAATAAATTATTCGAATATTGGGTACATAATATTAGCACGTTATGACCACCTCACAACGACGACGATGATGACGGCGGCGGCGGAAACTTACCCTTGCGCGTCATGCTGTTTATTATTATTTTTCTCATCTTTCCCCGCGGCATCGGTAGTCCGATTTACATTCGCCGTACGACCTATCGTAACCACCGTCACCGTTTCGAGGGATGCTGCCGCCGTGTCCGGGGGTGGCTGATGGGACGGGGGTGCGAAGTGTAGGGCAAGGCTGCTGGGGAGGAGTGGCGGCCGATCGATCCCACGCACACCGCGAACAGCAAACGTTCAGCGGCCGAAGCAAGCCGAGCCAGTCGTTTCTCGTCCGTCCGGAAAGCCGCTGGTTCGTTATCGTTTTTGACTTTTGATTGTTATTTTTTGAACATTTTCTCTCGACGGTCTGCGAAGTTAACAAAATCGTAACGTAATTTAATAAACCACATACGAAATATCACAAACACTTATTATACGCATTAAATAATAATATTTACGGTGCCATCATCCCTCCTTACGACAACGACTCAGCTTTTCTCAAATATACATTTTTATTCATATCATATTGTTTATTTTTTTAATATAGAAGGAGCGAGTTCTTGGGCTATATGTCGTTTGCAGTGAAAAACGTACTCAAAAAAGTAAGTCATTGCGTGTGTATATTGTATTATCGTAGATATTGAACACAATAGTAATATATTGTTATTATAAGTAGTTAACATTAGATGGATAGGATTGTGTAAACGAAAATGCAATGGATTGTCGCGCAGTTTACTATCATGTCGTAGTGTTTATAATATTATGTTCGCTTAGCGGCGATCAAATGCTAAATTATCATTGTATTAATTATTAAATTTTCGATTAAAACCAACAATGGATACTGCAATGTATACCGAGAATAAACGCGCTATTTGACGAAGCTCTTCAAGTGTCGAGAGCCCATTGAAATGTATAGCCCTTCTTTTTATAATGTGACACTTTCAATACCTATGTATACATATAATAATAATAATAACACGGAGAGCGCTGGTGGATGATGAGAAAATTTATAACGTTTGACCCAATTACCGATACATTTAGTGATTTATTGACACCGCTAGTTGTAAAAACAATTAATTTTGAAAACCCACTGATCGTAAGTTTTTCATTTTTTTAGGAAATAAACGGTACGTTCAAACTCGTACCGCAGAGTCCTGGGCGAATGCCACCGCACTCGACGCCGGCTCATCGACCACAAGGTTAGTATAATATCATAATTTGCAATAATGCAAATACCTATATAACTCATTGAATATTGTTTAATCTTGATTTGCTTTGTAGACCTGACCGTGGTTAAAACCGTACACTGCAGTACCGATGAAGAAGAAGAAGACATCATGATTGATGACGAAACTACACCCAGTAACCATTCGGGTAAGTGATCGTTTAAAATATGTTTACGAACGAAGTAAAAAATTCAATAATCGTAATGCAAAAAATTAATCGTTGTTTATGTTTTTTTTTCAGTGTCTGTCAAGGTGAAATGTAGTCAAAAGCCAAAAAAAGACACACTGACCACTAAAACTGGTAAGTTTACCTAGTAGACATTAATCTGATTGGATTTATTTTTGAGCAAAACTTACTGTCGACCTGCCTGTGTTCCAATTTGCGTAATACGTTCAATATTATTCATAGCACCTACAACTGTTTTTTCTCACGCGATCAGGCTTATAATAACAATAATTCAAACGACTTGTAATTCGCATGTTCGAATATATATAACGGGTCCTTTATTTTATGTTAACGCATATTTCGGTTCATTTGACAACGATAAACGTTCATTATAAGACAACTGAACATTTCTCACCTTTGGTTTAGCACTCGTGCTTCCGACAGTTATGTTAGATTAGTAACACAAAGTAATAAATTATCGTTATATTTTTCAGGCAACGAAGAAAACAAATTCTTGCAATACCTGGAGTTGGATCCTCCGTTGTCGTCTAATAAAGATGGCAAAAGCGGCAGAACTCCGTTCACAATCACCAAACGGTTATCGAAACCCTCAGGATCCAGTTTTGGATTTTCCATAGCGTGGACACATCCTCCGAGGTAAAAATCTATAAGCATTAATAATTCATTTTTTTTTTCGAATATTTTATTTTATATTAACTAAAATATATATAATTTTTTTCTCGTGCGTAGGGTGGAAAGAGTGGAGTGCGGTTTGCCTGCAGACCAAGCAGAGCTGAAACCCGGAGATTATGTAGTATTTATCAATAAAACTAACGTAGTAATGATGGCCGAAGATGACGTCATGGAATTGATTAAGTAAGTTTATTTTTGTTCATCTGGGGGTTTACTTTACGACACTAAAATCTGGGAATTCTAGTATAAGACGGGAGTAGAATCAGACTCGAGCATCTTTTTCTGATTTGTCCTTATATATCATGACGTGTATATATTAAAGCAAACATATCAAACAGGAAAAAATGAAACTTGTTTTTCTATTACGAATAAAAAAATTAATAAAGTTAATGCCAATAGAACAATAAATAATATTAAACATAATATAATCTCTGAGAATTTATTTGAAAATCATTAAAAAATAATACTTATTTTTAAAATTAATCGAAACAGTTTTTTAGAAATAGTATTATTCTCTGTGCACGGACCGTGATGTTATGTATATAGACTATATAGGTACATACATAAAATTGAAAACTTGGAAATTGAAGACTCATTTTAAAGACAAAGGATATAAGTTAATGTTGAAACCATTGTTAAATACCACAAACATTTAATTAAAAAGGCAATCTTGTTATAAAGCGATTAATTTTAATAACTCGAATTACTTTCAGTGGGATAATTTTTCTCATAAGTCCTGTTAAATTACAACAGTAAAACGTCTAACAAATGAAAAAAATCGTGCAGTTAAGCAGATCTAATGGTTGGAATTTAACGCAAATTAAGATTAATAGTCGCAGTGATTATACACTTAAGACAGTTTTGTATGAATAAAATCTGTAATGATAATAATATATTGAATAAAAATTGTCTTTTCTCTTAATTCATAATATGACAATATATAATATAAAGAGTGATTTAACACAAATCTTATTTTTATCCTGAGAGCGATATCCTTAAGGCATTTGAATCAATTACTCAAGTTTTTCCTCCACAAAAACAACAGTGTTAAATTTATTGTCGATGTATACTGTCACATATTATTCAATGTGTATAACCTTTAGTGTGTTTTCAGTGACAGTAATAAATTGTGGCGTTACTTGAGATAAAAAAAAAAAAAAAAGAAATGATAACATACGTTTTACATTTTTTCGGTTTGTAATAAGACTCGAATGTGGTAGATATGACAGTGATCTTTTGACTTTCTCGCAACAAGTATAAGATACACCATTATTTAACTTTCAGCACATCGCGTTTACTTGTTTCAGTAAATAAAGACGTTTACTTTCAAAGACACTAAATAATATTATATATTATATGTTGAACAAAAATCAAAAGTCCGGTGTCTTGATTGGTATGATTTTCAAACGTTAAATATCAATTATTTAAATAATATTGTAGTAGACCAATTGTATGTCGATTTGGCGGATTCCTATATACGTTTGCTTTATTTCTGTCGGTTATTTTCTTATTAACTCAAGTTGATTATATTTAAAATTCAAATAATAACAATAATAGATGATAACATTATTGAGAGATACAGTTTTTTATCATCGGAAAAATTGGTCATTTACTCATTCACCCGAATGAATTATATCTTTGTCTTTAATTAAATTTTGTGTGTTGATTAGCGTTATTCAATTAAAATTAGTTATTAGTTGCATTATATGTTATTATTTTTTTGAAGGTAAAACCTACTCACAGAAACTTGGCATTATCCTCTAATCACGTGTGTATTTTTCTTATATATGTCATGTTAAGTCGTATAAGTGACTTTTACTAAGTCAGTAGAGAGTAGGTATACTTAAATGGCAAACATTAAGATCGTTTCTAAATTTAATCTGGCAACAAATTTAAAATCGATTTACCCGAGCACAATACATCGTCGTATCACATTCACATTTTATATTCGTTTTTTCTATGAAGAATATCTGTAAATAACGATTTAACATTATTATATAATTTAAACACGGTGCCACATATCTATTTTTATTATATTTTATCACAATCTATATTCTATACGCACGGCAAATACATTTCAATAAAAGTAATTTCAGACAAACAAAGGGGCATAGTGTTGTACTTGGTTTCTTAAATGAAGAAAAAATAGATATTAAAAAAATATTTTTAAAAGTCAAATAATCAAGAAAGGAAAAATCGGCTAGAAAATATAAAATAGATACCTCCTATTATACTTATTTTCAAATCAAAATAAATGTTACGATATTTATCGTAATGCATGTACTCATCATAGTGCTACGATTTGAACAGACTTGCACACATTATGCCCTTATTAATAATTTACTATACTATACTATATTATTTCATCGTAAACAGATTTCCTTTTACGTGAATATTTACTATGCGTAGGAGGTGTATCTGAGTAAATTAATTATTATTTACAAACTGGAATGATCGGGGTGTTTTAAAAATTAATACATCGATCGGGTTATGATTACAATAATTAATCAAGGTTTTCTAAATGATAATTTATTCAAAATTTCATCATTTATATAACATCAAAGTATATAATTTAGGAAATACAGCTTCAAATAATTTTGCTTATAGCAAACCGAAAACATGTCAACAACCTTATCTTCTATATAAATTATAAATTATAAATTACGAGTATTTTCCCAGTAACGAAAATTTGAACGCAATGTATTACGAGTAATTATGTCAACGAATTAATTTACAAAGCGCAAATACAGCGCAAACTTTGTAAAGAAAAATTTTAGAACTCTTCTAAAGACTAATAATTATACATCAACGAATACCTTTACCTTTCAGGGCAAAATATTGAATATTCAGTAGGTACAAAATTAATGAGTGCAGAAAATGTCTCTTATGACTCGCGTTAATTTTTCAATTTTTTCACGATTTTGCTTGAATTAAAAATTTTGTTTGTAAGTTCATCATTCATATTAACATTTTTTGGGGGCTTTGGTTTAAATTATGATGAAGCTTACATTAAGAAGATATAACCACTTTAAAAATGTTAAAAATCGATCGCAAAATTAGTCTTTTTACATTTATATTTAAACTTTGTATTCGTTTAAATTATATTCTTTACCACATAATTGAAAACGTTGTTTAAAAATAAAATCGGTAGGTACCTATGAAATATAAAATAATTGAATTATTACATGAAGATAAAAATAAATGTGTATTATTCATAAATATTCGCAGAGTAAATTTCTTTAACGATTTGAATAAAAAACATTACCTAATTCGATATCAATAGTTACTCGATAATATGCTTTAATGGAACCATTTATAATAATATCATAATATGATATCTCAAACATCTCAATTATCTATGACAATAATAAAAAATAATAAAACGATACGATTCAAAATGTGATAATAACATCAATGTTTTTTTTATTTTTTGTGCAGATCGTGCGGCAATCAGCTATCGTTGGAAGTGTACAACAAAACTACGACGACCAACCGAAGGAGGAATCAACCGCCTCCACGATCTGCGTCCACGCCGGGCGTGCTCAGCTTGGCCGCCACCGCAGTCAGTCAGAGTGACACGACTGTTTCCTTGCAAGAGCCGCCCAGAAGACGATTTCACATACCTCAAGTGACGTTCACGTCCGAGGTAGGTTCCGGCGTTGTCGTGTGATTTCGTACTGCGATATATTTTTTTATGATATACTATGTTGTTTTGATGCTTCAAACCATTTTCTATTTTTTTCCGTTTGTAACTGATACATTAATTGTTTGTAAATAGTTTTCTTTCTTTATTATTATTATTATTATTATTTTGTTTTTGTCTTCGACGTGTACGCACGTTTGTTATCATTACAATCATATTATTACTACTACTACTACTACTATTATTATTATTTTTTATTATTTATTATTATTATTAAATTATAATTATTATTTTTGTGTGGATACGCGATGCTAAAAAAATGAAAAATTGACGTATTTTCGTAACCAGCTAAGCCAGTATTATAATACTATTATACCTACCTAATACCTACCTAGTACCTACGCAGATGCCAGTATACCACAATGTAATGGAAAACTGATTGGGAAACCCTTTTATAGTTATAAAAATGTATTAATATTAAATAATAATTGTATTTAGTAATCCCCAATCGGTTTTACATACACTACTATTACAGCATTATAATATGATATCGAGTGACCAGTATTTTTGCATTATCATCATTTTTTATTTATTTTTGTAGACAACAGTACATACCCTGCAGAATATTGTTTTATGTTTGTTCTCGTTTATGTTTGTATTATTTTATACATTATTATTTTTATTTGATTGTTGCATGCGGCCGATATTCGTCGTAATTTGTTCCTCTCGTTCGTTATAAGTATGTTTGTACGTTTTTTTTTTTTTTTTTTTTATGAAAAAATTTTCACGAACAAAATTTTAGTATTATTTTTATTATTATTTTTACTATTATTATTATTTATTTTGTATCCTTTTTTGTGTATATAAACGCGTTTAGTTATTTTTTTGTTCCATAGATGAAGTGTTTTAATTTTGTTAGTGATTTAAAGATTAAGAATAACCTCCTGCAAACATTTTCTCCAAACGCTCTTCTCTTTTCGTCTTAAAATAGTTTAATTATATAAGGTAGGTAATTATTTATTTTATTGCCCAAAACCATTGAAACCATTCAAATTGATAACCAGTAATCGTTCGTCTAAGTTTACGACAAAATATTAAAATTTAATCTTTTAACGATAAAATGTAATACATTAAGCTGAGTGACAATTTATTTTACTGTTTTTGTATTCACTAACGTGTTTGAATATTAAAGAAATTAAATTGCATTCAGAAAGTTTACCTAAGTGAAACATAATTTAATATTTATACTACAATTAATATTTCCATAGTAAATAAAATATAAACTTTAAAATAAAAAGTTAAAATTCTAAAAAGTTAAAAATAATATTCAGTTGAAATTTTAGGACTTACGTTTCAGATTGCGTATAATTATTATAGGGTCCATGTTAAGTAACTTGTTTTACTTGAAACGCTAATAACTTTTTAAGTGAGCACTTAATTGTAAGACCTAAAAGCACTATATCTTTACTAACAGAGACACAAAACACGAACGTTTGTCTGAAGTTTGTATTTAACATTTGTAATATTGAAATGGGAATAGCATCCAGGGATATGAACTTAAATTATAATTATTTTTGATATAACAATTAAATATCTAATGAGGGTTTTTTCAAAAATAATGTGTTATGTCTCCTAACCTAATCGTCTTGTTTACAAATTTTAAATTTCTAAACTTTATAGACAATTAGTAAAATAAAGCACTTATAATAGGTAAAATATATAGTATAATATTATTACTGAAAATAATAAGATTCATACCATTATTCTTTGTATAATCTACATAAATGTCGCTTAAACATTAAATATATGGTTAGATTAAGTATGGATCCTGGAATTCTCGGATAATTCGTTGATAGTGTATACAATTTTATAAAATAAACTTATACAATCTTTCGATAAAAAATATAATCGACATAACATTTTGTTTTTTAAAACATTTAAATTGTCGATTTATAATGCAACGAGATGTTATATTTTAATACTTTATACGTTTATACACCATTGTACTAATAATCAAAGCTAAGATATAAATCTTAAACATTAGTATGTTTTTTTTTTGCAACATTACAAAATTGGTTAGTATATTTATTACATCATTTATGTTGATACAAATGATCTATTTTTATTTTGTATATTTTTACATGTTTTAAGTTAAACGTAAATTATTACGCGTTATTTGAACATGAAAAATGTATATTTTATGATATATTTACAATTTAAGCAAAACCATTTAGTATAAAACTAAATGTCACATCGTACTATGCTCTTAATTTCAGTCTTATTAAGTCTGTGATTTTTTTATTGAAAAAAAAACATAAAAATATTATAGACTTATTTAAAAGTAAAACTAAAAAAAATGATTAAACTTATTTAATAAAAATTAATTTCATTAAATCTGTTTTAAGTTTATAAGATACTTCTTTTTCTCTTGAAAAAAAAATCTTTGTAAAAAAATTCATTATACTTTTATTATGTTTGCATTTGGTATTTTAGCATGTTTTAACAAAATTAAATGTTTACTTTACCGTTTTATACGATGTAATATCCTTACATCCCTCAATTCACATTTGTTGTCCGCTTGGAAGTAAATAATTTAGAAATGTTTGCAAGTTAAATGTAACAAAGATAAAAAAGGTACCATCCGGCTATACATGTAGTGTTATTTTAATGTAGTTCAAAAACAGTTTTTGTATCCCATTTTGCGTAAACTCAACCCTGAAATACATTCATTAAACATGAATAAACACGTATTTCATAGCCATTAATTTTATTGAAAATTAAATTATTTAAATGCATTATTAGTTCAATTTAAATTATTCGCTAGATGTTTATAAATAAAATAATATATTATTTGATCGAATAATAATTATCCTGGTTTGACTTTTAAATTGGATCAGCAAGATAAAAAAACCAAAGATATTATTAGTATGCGTATAGAACCTATTATAAAAGATGGATATTCTACGCATCGTTTGATCGATAAGCTACATTAACATAAATAAATTATCGAACAATAAAATCAAACGAAATATGAAACGTTAATTATAAATAATTATATATTTACTTATTTGAATTTGTTTAATTCGTGTTTTTATATAATGATAACGATAAGCGATTACAACTAATAGCTATATTATAAATTTACAGTTTATGGACTATGATCGTTATAAAGTTATAATTTATGTATTATATTGTACAAATCATACAATTACTATATTTTATAATAAAAGAAAAGAAATTGTCTGAACGTCGTCTATTTGGTTTTCTAATCGTAATTATGATTAATAGATTTTGATGTTTTTTTGTCGATTTTGAAATGAAAAACTCCTAGTATTTTATTTAGAACATAATAAAAAATTTAAATAGAAAGTATCCATAGTATGTTAATAAAGGCGGTTGGTTACCCAGTGTAATCGCATTACGTAGAGTTATTTATTAATTATTTTACATGAACCTCGAGGCTATCAGCGCTGTTCTTAGGAATTTATTTTGGAGAATTAATATTTTTTAAATTTTCATTTTGGACGAAACACAATAATAATATATAATATATTTAGTAGGTTAATGGTTGTAACGGTCTCATAAATAGCAGTGTACAACATTTAATCTAGAGAGTTGAGTTGTGATTTGATAAAGGATATAGGATTTTCATTTTTGTGTATCTCTTTGATTTAATTAACGTGTATTTTCCAGGTTAAATTTTCGTATAATAATTATCATGTCGATGTTTATATATCCTAAGGCTTCATTATACAATAAAAATATCGCAAATTCACCGTTTAAACATTTTGTACATGAAGTTTTCGTAATACAATTAAGAAAGTCATTAATCATTTTTAGTAATAAACAAAACAAAATATGATATTGTTTTATTGTATACAACATTATCTGAAGTGGCGTCCGTGAGGAGGGATGAAGAGGGATTGTAGACCTTACTTAAAACTTAAGCGAATTATCCCGCACGTACAATATAGATTAACTGGCCAATATAATGCACCAATATAACAATATATTTGAAAAAAAAAGTATTCTCAAATTATTTTGGTACAGATTTGTTAAACGCAAATTAATAGTTAGTATTTTCATTATATAACCTTCAATAAGCTGCTGCACTAGTCCACATATTTATTAAAAATTACAATATTATATTCTTCGTACCTACCGTAATTGTTATCAAAATATTCGTGGACGTTTTCCTTAATAATAATATAATAAAATATTTTTCTTTGGTTTTTTTTTTATTATTTAGATGAATTTTTGTGCACGAAATTACATAAACATGATATACAATGAGTATATATGTATTATTATTTGAAAAAAAAAATGTTTTTATCTAAAGCTAATTTTATTGTTGTGCTCTTAATTTCATGAATAATCACATACGAATTTTAAAAAAATACGAAATATAACAATTTAATAACCTTATATAGGTAAGTAAACTTTAAATAAAATTACTTTAAGATAATATACTATTCTAAACTTTAGTACTAAATTTTAATCAGAAAAATCTTAGAATACTTTAATTATATAAACACAATTTACAACAATACGTTTTTTTCAGTATTTGACTTTTTGTAAATACAAAAGTTAGTTACAAATAATTATAGAATATATTGTTGCGAACTCCAATTAAATGTGGTTTAAATGATGGAGTTTAACGCAGTTAAATGAATAATTTCTAAGTATTTATGTTTATTAAAATGTAACCAATTCCAAAATAAATAATAATAAGTACAATATGTAATGTGGCAGTAGACAGAGAGGTATTGCTTCAAGCTCTGTGATGTCGCGTTTGACAAAACTTTATCAATCTAAAAATCAGTGCTCCTAGGATAGAGTGCTTATCTCTACTATAATTATCGCAAATGACCATATATGATCTGCTATCAATCTCTTAAACTTAATATCTATCTCACGGATTCACAATCTGGATTTCCCTTTAAGGACATCCTGCGTGTCACTGTAAGCCAAATGCAAAACACACTATTCCAGTTTATATTAAATAACACAATAAAATAATAAAATTATTATTCTATGCCCACTCTTAAGTTAAAATATCTTGTTGGCCTATGGGTTTAATCGTTTTTATGTTCTAAAGTATGGGTTTGCTATGTGGTTGTTATGTATATGTACATATATTATATACAATGTACTTAAATATACTAATATAGTTGAAACATTAGAGATAATGAAAATTATCTGATAACAAATATTAAATTTACAAAATATAATTTACATAATGTTTAATTTTTGATCGACCCGATAAAACTAATTTGAAACTAGGAAACTCATTTTCAAATAAAATTAGAATAACTTATTTTAATCTATAAAAAAAAATTAAACAAATTACATTATATTATTATTACAATAATATCAAGATCCATAATTCTTTGTCAGATTAGAAAATATTATTATTGTCAATTTAGATAAGATTTTAATTTTAAAAATTTACAAACATATCAAAATATTCCAACAAAACCGTTTAACTTATACAAATGAAAATTATAATGTATTTTTTATGTAAATATAACAACATTTTTGTTTAATAAATAAAAAGTAATCCTGATTAAAAATGTAAACATAAATTTTTTTTTTTTTCTAGGTGTGTTAAAGTTTTTGAAAATGTTTTTGTCTCACATAACTCGTAATCATTATACAAAACAATATTTTCAACAAAAAAAAAAATGATATTTTTTACAATATTATTTGTCGTTATTATATTTTTATTTATTTTATTTATTCATACAAAAGCTAAAATGTTTTATTTTAAAGCAGAATGTTTTTTCCATTATCCTTAAATTAAAATATGGTATTTCGGACGAATAGAGTTTAATCTTTGTATTACATAATTATTTTAAGTTTATATACTTAGAATGTAGTGGCACTACGTTACCTCAGAAAATGAAATCGGTCGCCACTAAAATACAGCCACACAGCAGGGTGAAACAATTCTCACTTGACGTTCGCACAGGAATTTTATGACTTATTATGATGAGATTGATTACTGTAGACCCCACCGATTTAAAAGTCTGAACTCCATGGGGCATATTGTGTAACACTCGTGGAGTCGCTTATAATTTTATTTATAAGATTTTTACAACGCTTATTTAAAAATCAATGATTTGGCGTTCATTCGAGACGTGCGATCACGTGGTTCGTACCTATAAAAACTGAAGAACGACGGGATATTCATGTGAATAATGGTAATGCTAATCATAAGATAAATAATTGTTACACGGAATCGTTTAATGAGATGAAAAGAAAAAAATTATGGGTAAATGAAAGGAAGGTAGAAAATTGTTTAAATTTAAATAAGAAAAAACTACCACTGGGCCAATATTAAATTATATTATTATTTTAAATTTATTTGGTGACTATAACATGTAAGATTGAAAAACTCGGTATGTAAATGCATACATTTTGGTTTCGAAATGTATATTATACTTATTTTATAGTTATAAAATGTTAGAATCAATATCATAATATGTTTTTGACAGTTTTGTAAGTAAATAATAAATTTAATTCAAACAAATACTGCACGATAATTTTGATTTTCAAATGTTGCAAAATAAAATAAAATAAAAATAATTTGATTTTTTTATAGTTTGGATTTATCTTAAACCAATTTAATACTTGAATAGAGTGGTTCTGTTTTTTAAAAATAATGATGTGATAACTGATAATATTTATTTTATATTCAGCAATAGGTACTAGTCACTTGTAATTTAATTCAAAAGCAATTACATTTAAATAGATTTATGTATAGAATGTCGTTAATGTTTTATAAGCAGTTATGTTTTTAATTACAAATATTTTTTTTATTATTTTTAATGTACAAAAGTATATATTATATTATTTAAACTTTAATATTAATCATTGAAGTAATTTATGAAATTGTTTAATCTACTTTAAAATTTGTCTCATAAATAGTACAGTAGATTAAAATCTTCTGATAATAAATTAAAATACTTTGCTGTACAATAAAGAAACGTATCTGCGAACATATTTACTTTTCATTACTTAATGTGTGTTAAATCAGATATCACCAAATCGATCTTTTCAGTCAACTATTTTTGTCAATTAAATTTATTTTGTTACTATGAAAAAAAATATTTCTACAAATAATTATCTTAATTATCTGAGTTTTTTATTTTTAGTTTTTGAAAATCTTAAGAATATAGTTATTAAAGCCAAGTTTGTCGTCGTGGCGTTAGACAATTTAACTATAAATTATTCAGTGTAATTGTATGAAAATAAACGACGCTGACGTTAGTTATTTATCGTTAATCTTTTTTTTTTTTTCAAGAACTTATCCGGCGATATGGACTCGCAACTGAGATGGATTCATCAACTGCTCACGGCCGAACAACAATTCGTGCTATGTTTGCAATTCGGTATAGGGAGGTATCTATTGCCACTGGCCGAACGCAAAGATATACTCAAATCTAAAGAACATGCGGCTCTATTTCAAAACGTTCAAGAGGTACCTATGCATAATAAATATTATTTTATTTTACATTTTTTTAACTATGATTTACTTACATAAATGGCATTAAATTGCAATATTGTTATCTTTTTACTTAGAAAGTAACTACGGAACTATATAAAACAGGCTCTCGAGTTTTTTTTTCACGTGTCATAATATAACAATATAATTTATAGTTATACGTATTGTTCATCAGTCTCGTATCACTATAACGACATAAAACTAAGTTATTTAGAATGATAAATCGGTTGGAGTTTGAATTTATTCTTGAATTGTTTTTTTTCATAAGAACCATAAAATAATTAATTTAATTTAACCATCTGAACAAGAATGTAAGATTTACAAGCTAATAAGTATCTATAACAATAATTTATTTATTAGTTTTTTCTACAAATAGGTAATTTTTTTTTTTTTTTAAATCAATAATACTTTAAATATAACATAAATGCAAATTGTAGGCATTGAAAATAAACAATAACTAGCCAAATTTTTGAATTTTGATTCACAATGAGTGATAATATACACCCCCAAATAAAATTACTTTCAACTCGAATCGCTTCAATCATATACATTCAAATGTAAGAAATATAAAAATGTCACCAATTATTAATATTACGGTATTGTTAAACTCAACATATAGATTTTATACACTCTTACGTTTAAAATGTTTACAATCATATTACTATTATACACAATATGAACTTATAATACAATAACTGCAATATCGAGTCGTCCATTTAAGGGGGTATTCTAGATATGCCAAGGGAATATCACCCTCCCTCGAGAATTTCTGGCATACTGCCTCCGGGAATATATGATATTATAATTTTTAATACTAATTGTTGTTTCGCGCACGCAGCTGCTGCGCACTACTGAAGACACCCTGGAGCGTATAATCGACAACGATTGGAAAATGTTGGCACGAAACACATGCAAAACATACGTGAAGAAAATCGATCAGATCAATGGAGCATATTACAAATACTGCAAGGGTATCATTCATGCGGATTGCGTGCTTGTCGAAAAAATACGAAATTCAAATTTTCTGGAATTGATTAAAGACCCACCCATACCCGACCGTAGGCCGGATTTGATCACGTTCATTCACAAACCATTAGAGGTAAGTACCTACGTACTTGATCCCTACTTACTTTATACATATTACCCGTGTGTATTATATATTATATGATCGATGGTTACGTATAAAAATAACAATAATACTTACCCATATCTCTAACGTATAAAATACATTAAATTAAAAATATATATTCAAATAAAACACGGTAGCATTGTTTTAAAATTACATTGAAAATATGATATAATTATACTATCCGTAAAAACAAAATTTACAGTATGTATTTACGTAAAATTAAGCTTTAATATTGCAAATTTAAGAATAAACAATGTTTCTTAAATTAGATAAGAAAAATAATCAAGAAATTTTCCATACACACGTGTTAATATTATTATCATAAATTATGTACTAAGTTGTTTTATATAAATACTTAAGCATTATATATTATAAAGCATGTTAAAAACTATATACGTGAAGACCGTGAAGTAGTTGTGTAGAACTTGATGTCATAATATTACATACTCTTTGTTTTGTGTTATGTGGTTTTCAGCATTACAGAAACATATTAAAATGTATGCAACTCATTCAGATCAATACTGAACACGATGACGAAGGTTTCGAAGCGTTATCACATATAGTCCATGAAATGCAGGTAAGATTATAATAAATAATTTCATCTATTATCCATTATACAATGTAATCTATCTAGGTATTACGTTTAATTTTTTTATCTTCATTTTTTGGCAGTTTGACATCACAATTTATTACGTAGGTCGGTGGGAAAACAACAATTTTCTAGAACTAATATTTTGTTATATAATATAGATATAACTAAGATCCTTCATAAGATTTATATATATATTATTTTAGACGTTTTCAGTGACCTTATCATATAACTTATAATTTTAAAACGAGATTTTGTCTTACGTAATACGTTCACAGAATACTAAAGGAATTTTAAATTTTAAGCAGAGATGCAACCTCTCAGTCTTTTACCTAAACTAAGTCACTAGTAATATTAATATCGAAGCTTAGAAATTTTGAAGGTAAATTAATATTATAATTTCGTAGTGTAGTAAGAAAGCAATTTTCAAAATTTTTATTTTAAAGGGTTTAAATTGGCAAAAATCAAAATTTTACGTAAAATTGTATACCTATATACATTGATGAGTAACCGCTTTTAAACCATGAACCTCTAGCTTAAATTTTTAGGCTCTTTTTCACTTAGAAAATTGTATGTGGCATGCTCCAAAGCTACTATGCCCACAAATTTAATAATTTTAACAGCAAATGGAAATACATAAAATGTAGTGTATAGATAAGTTTTATGATAACATTTTTGCCATAAATTATTATTTCTTACTATATTTCTATTAAAATTTTGCAAAGCCGCGTCGGGTAACTCGCTAGTACTACATCATATACTATTAATATAAGACTACAAACTATAATATATCCTGTAATATTTATAAATACTCTTTATAACTCTTTATGGTACTACAAATGTAGTACTACGACGAAAAAATGATGTATTTTAAGCGAGGTTAGGTTAGATTAGTATTTTAAATTATTTACAAAACTTCTTAACTTAATATTTTATATTTATTTTTAGGGGTGAAAAGATTAATTATTGAAATAATGATTGACTTAAATCGAATATTCTTTGTGGTTAAAAACCATATGCTAAAAATAGAGTATTGTTCATAAAATTGTTTTGACATTATATTTTGTAATTATTAATATGATGAAAACAAAATAGAAATTTTTTTGGAAAAACGTCTCTTCGTTTAATAAACAATGCTTCGAGGATGTTTATATAATTAATAACAGTTAGTTTCAATTTGACTCATAACATTATAATATATATAGGGTCATACTTCTTCGCTGTGAACGGTGTTATCAGATTTCTGTATAGACCTTGATGACGTCAACCAAAACCTTTAAACTTCATAATAAATAATAATACTTTTGTACAATGTTAACATTGATTTAATATGTACCTATTTAGGCAACATATCGATTCATAACTGTGGAATCCGGTTTAATGGAACCGGAAGTGGATGGGAAGCCTTTGCTGTCGCTCAATGATTTAGAAGCCCGTTTAGTATTTACTAGGTGCAAGGTCAGTACATCTACCACTGTAATGACAATGACATTATTAAATTATCATCATCACAAAATGTGGAGCAAGGCTCTTAAATATAATATCATATTTTTGATATTTTTGACAATAACAAAAATTGTTTCGATTTTTACTAGCCTTTTACATTAAACACGTCAGACCGCCACTGGATATTCGCCGGCGACCTGAGCCGCGTAGAAGGACGATCTGTCAGATCGTACTGGGCGCTGTTGTTCTCCGATATTTTATTGTTTACCAAAGTTAGCAGAGACCGCGTGTTATTTGTCACTGACGAACCATTGCCATTAACCTCAATTGCTCAAACACAGTTCTCCGTAAAGAAAAAAGGTAAGTACTTTTTTTTTTAAATTTTTAAATCAAATCTATTTGTTTTTATTATGACTTAATAAATGAATACTCGTATATTTACAAACATAAACCTCATAATATCACCTATAACCAAAGATTGTCCTATGTCCATCTAGATATTAGTAGATAGATAAATTTATACTTTTAGATAAATGATGCATTCAATATTTAAAAAAAAAAAATATTATGCCTTTAGATACTAGATATATTTTTTCAAATACTAATAATTACACTTTAATTAAAAATATAAAAATAATACCATAGTTAAAATTTAAAATGTATGGTATGATCGATTATTATATCAAGTGTTACCTTTATTTTTAATACAGTTAAAGATATCTACCTAATAAAAAAAAAAATATACTTATGTACAGACTATAGGCTATATATATTATTTTGACTATTATAGTATTATATATAGTTATCTGTATTCAATGATATGATTTTTTTGCAGTTTTATAAAAAATGTATGCTGTAAGTACACTGCAAATCAAAACAATTATTTAAAAAAGTTACAATATGTTTATTTAAATATATATAGTAGGGTTTCATACAGTACGTCTCCGAACAAGATATGGGAAAGAAATTATTAGGATTATCGATTTGTTCGGATTACCTATGACTTAAAAAAAATTAATTTTCTTGCAATTTAAATTTTAAAATTTATTTTTATTTATACAGTATTAATTCATAAAAATTTATTTTTAAAAAACACAATGAATATAATCAAAATCATTATAATTATTTATATATAGCCAGTTAATATATATATATGAATTATGATACACCTACATGTGTGTATTATAGTTAGCGATGCAGTGATTTCCAAATCCGTTTGAATTAACGAAATCCGAATACAATATATACATATTATATTTATCTTCATTTTTATAAAAAATCTAAAAAAAAAGAAGATACAAGATAAAATATGTACAAATGTATGCTAGGTGAATAGTTAATGCAGCATAGAGCAATGTTTTTAATAAAATACACTTTCCTTTATTATATTAAATAGTACAATGTTGTAACAATTTCTGTTTCACGGGGAAAGTTTTTTTTTATTTGTTAGGGGAAAAAATAATACATATTATTACTCTAAATCGTTGACGTTTCGTGTGTAAGCTACGAGTGGTATGTGTAGGTATAATTATACACATTTTTAAGCCCCGTGTTTTTTGTCGTTTCAGATACAGAATTCCGGTTGGTAATTAACAGTGGATCGGACACGTCATCGTGTCACAGTAGTCCGGCCATGACCGGATGTAGCCCTTTGTTTGCCGATCTATCCGGTACTCTTTCAAGACTACCTAAAAATAAAGGAAGAGTGATTGTGCTCCGAGCACCCAAAGCTGAACTGAAAGCTGTGTGGCAAAATCTCATTCAGAGACAAATGTAAGTGACTCGTGCAACATTTAAGACCGTTGGAAAATAATTGAATAATTGAGATTTAATATTGTGTGATACCCATTACCCATACTAGTTTTGTTACGCAAAACTGGAACAACCAGTACTCGAGTTGAAAGTTTTAAGACCGTATGTCTAGTAATGCCATTGGTCATTACTCATTACTTATTACAAAATTGAATAATTATAGGTCAATCAATGATAATATTCAAATGTGTACTATATAATATAATAAAATAAAACATATTAATATAATGTCTTTCTAATTCGACCAAAAGATACCATAAAAGTTAAATAAAATCATTTCATTAAAGTATAGAAAATACTTACATGCTTTATTATTAATTCTTAAGTATGTCATGTACCTATACTATAATAACATTGAAAAAAAAACATTTTTATGTTTGAAGGTTTTCAACAAGTTAGCAATTTTTAGTACCTCTTCTGATGTAATGAATAATCATTATTAAAGTTAACGAGCTTGAATTACACCGGTATGGTTAATGGGATAAGAGGGGATGAAAAATCGAGAAAAATTTTTTTTTAACACCTTTAGTTTCTAAAGAATACTGATTATTAGCACTTCAACTATGATGTAATATCATACATATATTTATATGAAAATAAATCTATAAGTCAATCATAGACTACTAAACCAACTCTCTCCCCTTCTCTCATCAACCTTCAACACTAAAACTACTTATTCTTCTATACACCATTCAGAATAATTATAATTAAGACGGAAATTTTAATATTTTAAAAAAAAATACCTCTTACTGAGCAAAACTTAAAAAAAACCCTTAAAAGATATTTTTAGAAGAATGATAAAAAATTACTTAACAAATTTATATTAATAATTTTAAAATCCACGCGATTCGTTGCTATCATTATTGATGCCCGTCGTAATTAAAACGATTTATTTATAAGTACATGTATAATCCTATACATTATTATATATATTATCTAACTACCTACGCATGACTAAAATTTCATTTATCGCACCGTAGTACAGCCACTGCCGCTTTGTCAGGTACAAAAAGATATTTATAAATAGATTAAATTTTTAATTGATGAGCTATCTTAGTATTTAAATTAGAAGCTATTTAAAAAAAATAAATAAATAAGTAAAAACATATGTGATAATAATAGTAGTCAATACAAAATAAATAAATATAAAAAAAAAAATGCAAAATAAAATTTTCATTTTTAAGTCCTTTGGCTTATATATCGAACAAACGTTGTGCTTAAAGAGCAATGTTTTGGGACATTCAGAAAAAAAAATGCATTTTGTATTCAAATACCATTAATTGATATTATGATAATCATATATCGATACAATAATTTAAATAATTGTATATTTATTTAATATCACGTACGATATTGTTATCGCGTAAAACGATGCCTAAATTTATCATTTTTTTTTTTTTGTGTTTTACAGACTGACGCTGGACAAAAACGCATTCGTGCTGGACGGTAAGTGTAGGGGACCGTCGTCGTCGGAACCACTGGACTCGCCGGACGATCTGTTGGCCAACTCGCTGGCCACGCTGGACGACGACGTCTACGCGGACAGGCTAAAGGTACAGTGTAAGCTCTCGCTAAGCAACCCGACCACGCCCACCGGCACCGAGTCCGATGACTGTTATCCTGTCCGTCCGCCGTCCTGAGATTCGGTTTCCCGGCCGAATAGATGCTGCAGCCCCACGAGGTTCTAGATAGCACTATTGCTGCCGTTCGGGCCCAAAAACGACGGAGGGGGGTCCCTTAAATGTGCGAAAAATGAGCTTCTCATTGATCGCATACAACATACGTTTATACTTGCAAACCTATTTATTTATCACTATTTTTATTAAGGCTGTTGGAGCAGAAAATTCGGAATATTGGCAGTTTATTGATTATTTTGTGAATACATATTTGTGTGAGAGATCTAAATTATAAAATAACCTAATATAGTGCAGTTTACTAGTGAAAACTACTAGAGAAAAGATTTCTTTAAATACTACATGCTGTGGTCCTACTTAAATTTTTTCAAAATATTTGTATTCATTAACCTTTAAACTAGGTACATAGGAATACAATTTTACGTTTAAAACTTATTATTACGTGTGACAAAATATATTTTCATTTTTTTAACGATAATCTTAAAATTACTATGATATTTAAGAATTATTAAATTAAAAAAAAATCAATATTTAAATATTTTTCCTACATAATTTAGAAAAGAAGTTAATAATTTCATGCATACATTCAAAACTGTAATTGGATGTTGGGAAATACATAAACTTGTTCAATATCACGAAAAATATAGGGTGCTCCAACAACCTTAAATAATATGTAATGTAATTTTAGTTCTCGATCGGCAGGCCTCATAGTATAATATAAGATATAACGCGTACACGTGGTGCCGATACGAACAAGATAGTGCCAAAAGCTTCGATCGTTCGATATACGAATTTTTTCGATATTTTTAATAAATTATTATCAAAATTGGTTAGTTTATTTCATAAATATAGTAGTTCTTAAAAAGAGACCATTGATTGTCAATGAACTATATTTTTAATACATTTCTAAATTTAAATTAATAAATGGTTAGAAAATAATTAATGATAAACCATACGTTATGGTATAAATTAATTAACTGAAATTAGCATTGACGACCATTTATCGATCCGATCATATCTTCTATTCACTGGGTGCACAATAATTCGAAAAGCATAATATTGTGCGGTAAGTAGATACTATTTCGACGAGACTGCAATTTTCCTGTATAATAACGATAGTGTGGACGGACATATTTTAAATATACAGTTGGGGTACACCTTAACAAATTATTTTTTACTTAGAAATGAGAATGCTATAATATTATGTTGTCCATTATTATAAAATGCTAAACGTATTAAACCTATAGCTTCCCCGTACGACGAACGTGCTATATACAATTACATAGTTTTCATCCTTCTAAATAGCAGAGTTATAATATTATACGTAACCTATATATTTTATTGTATATTAATGCATGTTGTATTAATTATATTGTTCAGTGGCGTATCTGAAGCTCAGCCAAAAAAAGCAACTATCATTTTTTTTTCCAATCAGCTTCTCGAATTTAGCAATATATCATATTCATTTTTACACCATACCATTATAGCTTCCTAACTTGTCGATTTAACGAAAATTTAGTTTTTTTGTTTTTTTATTATTTATTAATATATTTATATGTAAGCTGACATTATCATACATAGATTCAATAACTATTACAAATACTTGAAATAGACCAAAGCCCAACCTCACACCCACCAACAGCTCAAATACACCACTGTAAATATATTGAACCTATAAAAAATAATTTCATACACATACTATAATATAGAACGGCAGCAGTAATAATATTAATATTAAATGTATAGTTGTTGGCACTGCAATGTGTATTTTGAATATCCGTAATCATTTAATATTCGGCTTAGAAATATTACTATTATATTATTTGAATATCGTAGTGGCTTTGCCAGTTTATCTAGTCGCCGTTTAGAGTACCAATTTAGAGCACAGGGCACCAGCATCTATTTGACGCCGGTAACTGGCGGATCGTAACATGATAAAATCACTCATATAACATTTGTATACATGCATTATGACTAATGTATATTTTGTAAGTTTAATTACTGAGTAGTTGTAAATCGATAATGTTATTTAAACATCGAATTCGATACGTTTATTAACGTATATAATAATAATACATGCATATATTATATGGTTATAAGTACACATTCTATAAAACTGTAGAGCGTAAATGATAAATGATAATACTACATGGGCGTGTAGCGCTCTACACATTCGTTTTTAGAGTAATATTTATAGACGCATTACTTTGATATGACGCCTATAATGGTATCTGGTACTGCCTATCATTATAAGGTTTTTTTTTTTATGTAAAACTTAATACTAGCAAATAGAATTTCGTTTTGACGCGTTTTGTGAACTGTTCCTTCCTTAAGAATATTTAAATTCTATAGTGTATATAATCATAAAATATAATTACTATATAAGTATTCTTATATTTATTTAAAATTATTTTTCTTTATAATATTTTAATATTAAAAAATAGATATATTGATAATTATATATATTACAAATTAAGTAGTCCACTGTTCATAAATGTCATATATATACGTACTAAACTTTTAACTAAAATGTTTTGTATAGTGTAAATGTTTCCGTCCCGAAAGTTTTGAAAAACTTGTCTATATGATGGATTTGTATTTGTCAACATATCGTTTTTAATAGTAAATTATCTTTGTAGTTAAATTTAAATTTTAAATACTTGTACATAATTGTAATGAATAAAAATGTTTTCAAACAATGAATATGATCAATTTTTTTCACATATTTAGTACTATTTAAACGGTAAACAGCACAATAATTATTATTATTTTCATTATGCACTCATTATCTCGATAAGTATTAATGTTTTTGGATCTATTTTTCTCACAAAAAATCAATATTTTTATTTTTTATTTATTGAATTTTTCTGAAAGATTAAGAATAAAAAAATTAAAAGTGTATGCATCATTCATAATAGTTAGATACTTAAAAAAGTTAAAACATTTTTTTTTCAAAAATACTGTTTAAGAATGACTTCAAATTATGTAAAAAAAATCAAGAAAATATTGCAAAAAACATCAACGCTTTTTGAGATAATGAGGATCAACCTGTTTTTAATAATATGTCATATTATTTCATCGCCGCACAGCTGCAGACCATCCGTTTTGGTCTTGCGCACAAAGTGAATTCTAAAACCACCATTTTTTACCGTTTGGATAGTAGCTGGATCATTTTTCTTCTTTACAGCCATTTCTACAGCAACCTCGCAGAAGAATGCGTACAATAACAAACAATGGTTTTATGTTAAGGGAAAAACTAATGTACAATGCATGTATACAAAAAAATTTTAAAAAAATCGTGTTTTTAAACGATTTCTTGAATACGAGAATGTGCAGATGTGTTTTTTACCTGTAATTGTTATTAAAAGCATGTACACACATTCATGCTTGATTATTTTATGTATTTCATTTGAACAAAACTTTTTGTTGATATAATATTATAAAGTGTGATGTTAAGCAGAGCTATAAATATATATACATATAATGCTGCACCAGATATACGCGTGCATCGTGACCTAAATCGATTTTTTTTTTAATTCAAAGCACGACGGTTTAATTATTAATACCACCAGTTGATATAGCTTTGATTCTGCACTCATTGTTTTTGTTTTTATTAAATAAAATTTTTCCAAAGTTGAGACAAACCTCACAACTAGTACAGTATACTTGGGTTAAACTGTATAAAAAGAAATTATAATAAACCTGCGCGCATTTTCAAAGTTTCTTATATCGTTTTTAAATATTATAATTTTATTCTAACTTTATTTTATAGTATACACACTAAATTATAGGTTTTGCAAAAATGTATGTGTGCAAGGTTAAGTTAGGTTATTTGTTTGCAAATATATAACTATCAAATTTAGCTTTTCAAATAAAACTAATTAATACGGTTATAATTTGACGATTGCTAGTTTTTAATTTTTTTCTTCTGTATTTTTTATTCCGCTTTTTGTTTATGCTGGGCTGATTCAATTGATATGTTTTAAAAATATTGAGTCGTAATCTAAAACAATTCGGGACATCGAGCTAGATTAAATATTTTATATCCTTAATTAAGCACCCTAAAAATCTAATACATGTATAGTTTTGCTTGTGAATGTCAACAGTACGTATAATGCGTAATATACACAAAAAAACGATGGTGCACGCATCAGTGTGAGCTATTTTCTTATCAAAATACGCATCGCATCACGCAAGTCGTTTATATATTCATCTTACTACGAGTACTAGGTAAATACCGATCATAATATTATACTTACAACGCTATAATGTGAAGCTTCAAAAAGTCGAGAGTATTATGTTTTACTGTTAAACGCTTACAATTGTATATCGCCATGGACCATAATCTGTAGGTCCTATAATATAGTATACACAATATCATAACAGATTAATTTATAATAATACGATTAGATGTTATGTAAATTAACCAATTGAAAACATGCTTACATGTCAATAATAAAAGTATTTTTTATATTTTTTGTATTTAAATATTATTCTAAACACTTCAAAAAAATATTTAAACCATACCTGTTAATACCTGTTTTCTTTATTTAGATTTTAGATTTTGAGTGAACGATGAACATTATGATTTTACAATGACGTTTGAAGTGTTTTTGTTTCCGAAAACACTTTTTATAAAAGCAAAAAATGGTTCAATTTTTAACTTAAACTTTTTATCAGATAGGAAAGTGAATCTAATCAGAGCTTATGAAAATCAAAATTAAAAAATTTTAAGAAAAAACTTGAGATTTTACGCAAAACCAACTTTTAAAAAAATCGATTTTCTCATTATGTATGGTATTCAAAAACAAATAACCGTAAATATTTGGAATTTTCACCAAATAATGAAATGTTGACTAACTTTTAACTATTCATAGATATTATCGATTTTTTTTCTATAAATATCATTAAAAAAATTGTTTAGTTTGGTCAAAAAACTTGGAAAATTAATACAAAGTTCCTTATACATAACACTGTTATAAAAAAATCTAAAAATAAATATAAACATAATTTTCACATATATTATTATAATATTATACTAAAAATATATAATAAATTTTTTAAAACATTTAAATTAATATTATGCCATACCCTATTTATTCCAAGAATGTATTTAGACATACTGTTATACGGTAAGTTAATAATGACTCGAAAGTTAATAATAATAATAATATATGATACAAATAAACACTATTGCAATAATTAAGTATTATTAATTTAATAAACGTTTTCAAGAGAAATTAATTCAAACTAGATATCAAATAGTATAATAAATTAATACAATAGGAATTTAAGTTTATCATAAAATATATATACCTAAGCAAGCTAACAGAATAATTTCACTCAAAATTTAATTCAAATTTAACACAATCATTAAATTTACTTACTTAATGACGAACTACAGTCGACACCAACTGTACAGTAGACTCAGTAGAGTAGTTATCTACTTTTCCCCAGTTTATACTCAAATACGCTTGTTTTAGAAAAAAAATAATATAATATGTAAATAATATTTATATTTATAAATTAATAATCACTAGTCGCTAACAATATTAAATTGAAAATGAAAATTAAAGACATTGGTTATAATTTATCATGTAATTATTGAAATGGTTAATTTGTTTTATCAAAAAAAAAAAAAAAAAAATCATTAATAACAAAAACAAAGATACTAAAAAAAAAATATTTGAAAATCATTAAAATAAATTTTTAAAGTATTAGAACACATATTCTACCCTTTCACTCGATTATTCAAAAACGTATTCAAAGTACAAAATCATTTATTCTTTACAAAACTGCATGCATATACAATGTATATAAAGATTATACTATCGTTTTAAAATTTCACAGATATTATTTTTTTATAGTTTAGTTTCAAATTTAAAGGTGGCCTAGTTAAAATGTTGATCTTTATTTTTAAGAACCACCCTAATATACATGCATAGATCTATAAATTAATTTATGTCTCAGTATACTGTACTATTTATTTAACTTACTTGGTTTAAGTCTTTTTTTACTTTTTTGCTTTCAAACTTTCAATTACATTGTATAATTTTGTGTTTTTATTTATATATTTCAAACGATTTTAACTGAAGTACCTATATGGCTAAATGTATTTATGATGCATAAAGATTACTTATAATTTTTAATTTTCTAAAAAAAATTCTAGTTTGTTCAAATTTGGTAATATCTTGTCTGTTATTTTATATCAACTGAATTGAAAATAACTGTTCAAAAACTATCGAAATAGCCTGAGAACTGTCTTATATGGGAAAAAAGCATCCCTCGTAAAGTACAATATTATATTACGTTATTTTCTTACAATCGAATTTTAAATTCTAAAAACTAAATATACGTTCAAAATTTACTAAGATTGGCACCGTTTTTATACATGAAATAAACCACTCTCGTTTATACTATAATATACTAATGATATACTCGTACTTATACGTCATAAAATACGACGTGTAGATAATAAGCGAAACTTGTACACACTTGAACGGTACCAGCAACTCATTCGTGCGCGTAACTCGCATGTTATAAACGTTATGATAGATTGCCAAAAATTAAAACAAAAAATCCAACTGCATCGTTTGCCGTCTGTGGATTTCTAGTCGTTTGCCGCGTCGTTGGTGGACGAGAGATGTCAGCGGATGACCAAGAGCAGCACATGCAACAAGGGCAAGGCGTTGCACATATCGCAGTGGATCAAGGGCGAACTCGGTGGTGGCGTGTTCGACGGAGGCAGTTGTGGCCCCGGTGGAGGCGGCAGCGGTGGCGGTAGTGGCAACGATGACGATGACTTGGAGCTGTGGTCTGCAGAACAAATGAACGCAAAACGAGCAGAGATCGAACGTCGGTTGTCGTCGGCGGCGGCGGCCAGGGACGGTGTGGAGGCAATCATCGAATACGCGACTGCAGCAGAGACCGTGTCGGTGGTCAGCAGTCCGGACGATAGTCAAGTACGTATTTTGATCATATAACGACATTTTTTAATATCAATAATCTCGTATTTATTACTGTATGGTCGTTCGGACAACAAAATCGAAAAGTAGTTTTAAAAGTACGTTCGGATCTTGATGATTTGCAAATCTAATTGCGCGGACCAATGTTGAATACTTGAATGTAGTGATTGGAACTGAAATTGAAACCGGTAAATTAAATAGCGATTATCATTCGTCGTTTTCCAATAAACGAATCGGTATACATTATCTGAAAGACGTTTACTATTTTTTATTCATTTTTAAAAACAAATTCAGAACCAAACCTTAAAATATTATTTTTTATAAAACAGTAACCTAAATCCCAACAGTCTGATAAATATTCCGATCCCTGATTCAATTTTGAGTCTAGGAATTTTATTGGTTACTATAACGATTGTCTTAGATATTGTCATCCACGGTCTATAGATTTTTTATTTATTTTTTTTTTTATATCTCCTTTATCATAAAATGTACAAGTGTACTAAACGCAATTATTTTTCCGGGAATTGTTTTTATTTTTCGAACTCTATGTGAAAGCGGATTACTGTTCAAAATTATGCGACCAAACTTAACGCGATATGACGTCTATAAGCGTTTACTAACGTTCTTATTGTTTCGTTTTACGTTTGTACTCAGAGAACGGTTATACCGGAAAACGTGTGCGACAAGTGTCAGAAGAAGTGCGACGTTAACGGAAACCAGCAGTCCGACGCTTTCCTCGACATGGATCCCGACAACAAGTGGAAACCGTCCACGGTTTCCGTGTTCACAGACCTCAGCCCTTGTGAACCTTTCGGCCACATAAATAATCTCAACAACAATTACGTGAACAACAATATCGGAAATGATAACGATAACGAGGACGACGACGACGACGATGATGACGACGACGACGGACTCGAACCAGATAGACCGTACGCTTTACTAGCATCGTCACCGCTGCAACGTAATGCACATCAACTTTATCAGCAGCAGCAACAACAACAACAACAAATTCGAATGCACCCACGGTTTTCGTCGATGTGCAGCTTGGATAGAACTGGCACGAATCGTGACCATTCAACGGATAGTCTAGACAGAGTGGAGTACTGTTCGACTACTGATTATCGGTAATATCATTGTACATAATCGTCTATACCTAATAACTAATCATAAAGAGCTTAATCGGCAAAAGCTGTGAATTATAACGATATCAACAATTAAGTTAACTTTTGATGTTTTGGTTGAGTTAGATTGTATATTATGCTATCTTACAAACGTACAGCACAAGAAATTTGAGTCCAGTAAAATATATCTTATATTATTCGCTTTAAAATATTATTAAATGAGAAAATTAACTTATTAGCAGGTATGAAGGTAACATTTTTATGTGTCTATAATATTCAAACATTTGCTTTTTTACGATATTTTAATTTTCAAACAAGTTATTGGCATCTTAAAATTGTAATATTTTATATATCTACTCACAACTCACTTGCTTAAAAATTAAATTATTGTTAAAAACCATTGGTGCAAATACAGATAATATTCTTAACTTTAAATTAGATTATAAATCGATATTATAATCTAATATTAGAATTGATTCAGCCATACGCAAAATTTCTTGACATTAATAAGATTATTATAATTTTATAAATAATTATTGATGTAAGAATATAAAAATTACGAAACGATTCTTTATTGATTTAATTTATTCTTCATAAATGGAGTAAAATTACTTTATAATAACCAAAAAAGTATTTTAAGCATATTATAATTTCGTATAATATGTACCGCTAGTCAAATTTTATAACGTGTTAAAATATGATTTCACCAGCTATCCTTTTACACTTTATTAGTGTACGTAAATTATACGTATCACCATTATTTAAAATTTGTTATAAATTCATTTTATAGTTATGTATTATATTTTTATTAAACTTTTATAATTTTTGTTGGTTTTGTTTTTTACTATAGGTGGCCCGAAGACTTTTGTCCTGTTACACCAAATTCTTGTTTACCAACCGACGAAGACTATAACTACGATGCATCGAGCGAAGAATTTTGGGGAACGCCGAATAGTAGTACTACTTCGCCGCTATCCATTGAAGTAAGCAAAATGTTGTAAGCATGCTTAAGCCGCTGAGCTAAGACTTTTATGCATTATTCAACAGATTAATTATTATTGAAATGCTTAATTCCATGAGAACTTTCGTAGGTAACTCTACACTCGATACACGATTAAGACACTTAAATTATTTTTGTTCGCTGGTTTAATTTTTCTGGTATGTCATTAATCATAACATAATAGTATAATAAAATTATATTAATGGGTAATAATATAGTAAATTGTATATAATTTTTTTTTTAATTACATAAGTATGATACGCGGCGCATAGAATAGGCAATTCAACTACAACACTATCGTTGGTCGTTAATCATATTTTTTTTAATCTTACTCACCAACAACTTGGCATCCAAAAACCACTTTACTATTAATGCGCATTTATAAAATTATATGCGTGGCTTTACATAGAACATTTTTAAATTTTAAGGGTTAACGTGTATGTTTAAAATTTTAAATATCCATTATAAAAATGTAAAAATGTATAATGAGATACAGCTGATAATAAAAAAAAGGTTTCTTTTGACTTGACAAAAAATTTGTTGATCATGTCTTGAGAGCAAAATAGGGTAGGGTCCAGTTTAACCGTCATAGGTAATCGACTGATAACTAGTAAGTCGTTAAGTAGATGAAAGACGAAAAGACATAATATTGCAAGTGAAAACATCTTTGAAAATGTATCAAATATTATTTCTATGCCTCTAAATTAATTAAATTCAAACTTATGGCTTATATCCGGAATTATTCTCTTAGCCATTTAATTTTTCTTAGAATTTCATACTGCACGCATTAGTATATTTATGTTCAAAATAAACATTATATCTATAACAATATAACACTTAAAAATAATAACTTCAGATTTGGTTTGTGAATCTTTGAATATTAACATTATTTACTCATTACCAATCAAGGTGAATTACCACGATGAACAGCAAAATGAAGCACTCCTTTTACCTTCAGTTATATCATCCTCTACGCCTAAAAAGAGACCAGCTCGACTAGAACCACTAATAGAAGAAATTGAGTCGTCGGACAATACTCCATCTTATGAATACAAAGAGGTAAAATATAATATAAATAAATAAAGGACTTGTATTTTATAACATATGTGGTGATTCACTATTCTTACTCACGTCTACTATTTTTTCCTTTAATATTCAATTTATTCAAGTTCTGATTTTTGCAATTTTTAAACCAAAAAAAAAAAAAAAACATTAATTATATTTTAAAATTGTTAAAATTTTGTTTTTAATACTCTAGGAGTGTGTGTAAAACCGTCATTTTTATTATAAACTATCAAGTAGGTAATTTTTTTGAAAATGTTGATATATCTAATTCAAATTTTGAACTATTAGTTTCTTGGATTATTTAAATTTTGTTTATACTAAGAGCAATAATTATTAAAAATAGTTAAAAAAAAAATATAACAACAAAATGTCATATTAGATATAATATTTATTATACTTGAACTATTTTTACAAATTATGAATTGATAAACGATGCTAAAATATTCAAATCTTTGTGGCCCCCGTTACATTATGTTATAAACGATATTGTTTTAATTATTGTGTGTTTTTATAAACAATGCACAGATCGTTTATGGAGAAGGTCAAACTCTATTGAAATTTAAAACCAGACCTGTGGCTGGGTCCAAAGACAAACATTCTGCAGAAAAATCGATCACTAAAAACTTGTAAGCAAACAGTTGTTATGTTTAAACCGCATGAAAAATAATCTAGTTTGTTGTCCACTTTGTGTGTTGAAAAGAAGTAGTAATTATGGTTTTGCGAATGCGACAGATTTAACATGTTATGGCGGACATCAGGAAGGAGCCGTTCGAAGAGGACTTGCAGCACCGAATCTAAAATGAGTGCAAATTTTATTCGGAAACGACGTGTGAGTACCTGTACAGTGCTTCACTTATTAATTATTATATTATTTTAACAATAAATCACTATGTTTATCTCAATAAAAAAAAAAAAATGGTAACATTTTTTTAAACATCTTTTTCTACATAATTTGAAGTAATGAGATACTAATATTAAAAAAAAAAAATCATTGGTACCTACATAAAATTATAATTTACTAAACCCCAATACGGTTGTGTACTCGTATTTATATTCTATGTATATAAAAGTTCCTAATGACATATTATTTTTACTTATACACAATATCTAAATATTTTGATATTTGTTTCAGGTTAAGTCCGAAAAGTCAAAACAGAACAAAGAAATTAAACTCAATTTAATTGAAAGTATATACTTATTACTCTTTGGTTAACTATACATCATATAATATTAACTTATATTATAGGTATTATAGATACCTCTTAATAGTTGTTGACCTTCGTAGATATTTTTTACTACTTACGTATCTATACTAAGCTTTGTCACTTTGATATATTGGTACATGGCTTGAAACCAAAACAAATATTTTCTTCTTTTTTTTTTTTGCAATTTGGAAAATTGTTATTTTATAAATATAATTTTCATGAATTTTTTATATAATTTCGATTTTGTTTCTGGAAGTTTAATATCATTCTAAATATTTTATTTAAAATATCAATTAATATATAAGTAATGTGGTATATCAATATAAAAAATATATTGAAATACCTATTAATTCAATGTCGTATCGATCCATCGATATTTAAAACCTATTTAAAAACTAGTGGCCTAAAGTCTCGCAATTTTGAATTAAATGCAATATAATATTTCAATACGATACATTTGTTTATTAAATACGATATAAGTTTTATACATACAAAGGTACTTAGGTTGTATTACATATATTTTAATCAAAATAACATTATCATATTATAACAATAATAATATATGGTTGTGCTATGCCAATAGACTGACTATTCTTTTTTTATAAAATTGTTTTCATCATATGTTATAACGGCAATGTCTTAACATTTTCCACGTTAGTTACGTCATTTTAAATTATTTTACTCAAAAAAACTACTTTATTTTTATATATAACGAATATACCTCGAGTACTTGAATCATTAATACTTCATTAAAATCCATCAACATATTTATCGTTGCGTTACAATCAGTGTTTGCTTGTTGTTTAGCTCTACGATATATTATTATATTATGTACTTAGTGAGGTTTCTTGATATTTATTATTAGGTAATAATTTGACAATATAGAAGTACAAATGGTATGCGGGATTTACGTATGTACATTTTGGTTAAAATTCTTAACCTCATTGTTATTATTATTGCTTTACAAATATATATTTAAATTATAAGATATTATTTAATAAATAAAAAATGTTATACCTAAATAAAATGAGTGATGTGATACAAGAAATACACTTCATTCATTTTTTGGGTTAATTATTTAAACTTGAACAATTTTGTGAATAAGTACCATCTAACATTTTAACAATCGCTAAAATTTTAACGAATTTGAAAGTAAGAATAACAACCAAAATGAGAGATTTTTAACATAATAACTTGGTCTAACTCGGATAATACGCAGAGAAATAAAAATGTACGTGTTTAATAAATGCGTTCAAAAATTAAATTTACAAATAGGCATGTGCCAGTATGATCTTATAGTCTGATGTAGTTACGAATAACGATCAGTTAAAATACGTATAAGTTTTTTTATTTAAAAGTGATGATTTTTTCAAAGACTGTTATTTATTTAATATACCTTACAGAAGTTTAAAAAACTGATACCTACTAACTCTTATTTCAAACAATGAAAATTTTTTTTTAATGTTATTCGCTCGTAAACGTTAACTATGACTAAAGTCTCAATATAAATACTTCAATTACATATATTCGATTTTCTTGATGTCCTTTTACAATTTTCTACTTTCTTTGTTACAAACATCTATTAAGACGTCCAATTTAAACCGTCTTTAGTTTTAAATCATTTGATGACTAGTTGCATGTTATAAATTTAAAATAGTACGAAAATGAGCGATATCACGACATTAACAATAATATAAATTATATAATAATGGTTGAATATCAAACTAAAAAGTTAAACTTAACAGATAGAATGTACCTAAAAACATTGTAAACATTTTTATCTTTGATATTGCCTTAAGGATTTTTACTTTTAACTTAATTCTCATTAAAAAAAAATTATATAATTTAGGTAGGCAATGAATAATGTGTTATTCTATTAAAAATTATACATTTATTTCAAATGCTCAGCTATTTTATTCATAATAATTGAAATAATTTTTCATTTCTATAATTAAGTATACTATTATTACTTACTTATATAGTTTTTGATTCGTTGATTTGTAAAATATAAGTTTAATTATGAACTACTAATAGCTAAATAACATGTACTACTTATCTACATCTCTGAAAACGGACAAACTATTGCATTTATATTTTTATTTTAAGTGGACAAAATCTGATACAATGTATTGTTTATGTATGGAAATTGTTTTTATACATTTATTTGAATTTTTGGATAGGTAATTTATTGTAAACCTATCCAAGATAATTGTCAAAATGTTTTCAATAAAGTTAAAACTTTACAAAATGCAGTGAGTTATGTATTATGTAGTTATACAAAAATGAACAAACATCAATACTATGAAATCTTTACTCCTACATTTCTAACATATACACCTGTTAATTAATAATTCATATTATTTTTAAGAACCTTTTTTCATCTATTAAATACATTTATTTTTTATGTATTTATATAATAATATTCCGATTGTCAATAACAGTGATTCTCAACAGTCGGCTCGCTAAAAAAAAGGTACCGGTCTGTATTGTATTGAAAGAATTATAATATAACTAGTGTTTAAAGTTTAAACTGTAGGAGTATGTGAACACTTGATAAAATATTTTATCAGTACCTAATATTGCAGTTCATATTATACTATTATAGCAACAAGTTATTTCAAATGTCATTGATTAGTATGAAATAACAATATCAATTTTCAATTGCAACTGGGCATGTATAATAAAATGTATACATTAAAAAAAGTCAGTGATGGATATAACACTTTGAATCTTTTTTATCATATTTAAAAATTTATGAGGTAGACATAGCTGATATTGGTATTAATATTATCAAAATATATTTTTATCTAAAAGTATTTGCAATTATTCGATAATAAATTTGAAAATTATTATCCAGTTAACCAAGATTCACAGCCTCACAGGATGGATATATGTAAGTACAAAATCCATTTTTAACGAACTCACATTTATAAATGAAAACAATTTTTATTTGTGAGTAAAATAGCTTGAAAATCTATAAAAACTAAAAAAAAATAGAAAATAAAGACAATTTTTTTTATAATTTAAAATGTTTACAAAATTTGTCAAAAACATGAAAATTAAAAAATTATATTTTATTTAAAAATTCATTAAATATCTCAAACTTGAAAAATTAATACAAAGTTCTTAACATGTCATAACTTGTAAGTTTATCATTTAGAACTGAAGAAAAAAAAATTTTATAAAATCATATTCAATGAGTAATAATGTATTATAAATTTATAAATACTACATAATTATTAGAAAATAACAATAAAACTCTTCTATGAATTCACTCAGTATCTTCTCGTGTAGATATTAACACTTAATTTACAAAAAAAAATGGTTAGTAAGAGATGTTATATTTTTTAAACGATTTTTTTTTTCAATATATTTCTTAGTACAACCAATTAAATGTTTTTTATGAATTAATACTTCATAACTCATTTAAATGGCTTTTTTCCTCTATGTGTAACTATACAATCATTTAAATATTTTTTCTAAGTAGACGCTTGATCAAAAATATTGCATTTATATTATGGTCTCTCATTGTATCCTTATACACACTTTTAGGCTTGATAAAACAGAAAACCCTTTATTTATATCCTATTTAAATACACATGATGTTTAAACATATTTATATTATTCTTAATCATGCTATAAACAATGTGTCATTTACCATAAACAGTATAAACAGATATTAACATAGGTAATGACATAATATAAATAGCATAGGGACATATTATTCTAATATAGATACCGACAATATATGTTTTAGTGTGCGTGAGCTACTAATATAGATACGAGCCTGGAAAGCAAATTAATCTGAAGCAACAAAAAATGTTATTATTTTATGCCACTGCAGCCGTCCGTGAGAGACGAGTCCCATTGCTGTTATAAGTTCGGCAGGTGCACATGTGTTATGTGTATCGTAGGTACTATCATGTATGCGACGATCATACGTGAAGAAGCGAATAGCTATTACACGAATTTTAGTGAAGTAATATAATATGTCTGTATTAATATAATAAAGGTATTTACAACCATAAAAGTTGTATTATACTTCTCCTCACAATCGTTGGACATTCAACCTTTAAGGACTAAACAAGCTAGAGTACCTACCTAAAAATATCATATGAATCGCTAAGATTTTAAAAGAAAAGGATGCAGTGATAAACATATGCTAACACACCTAACCATACGCTGATAATATCAACTGAATTTAATTTTTGATGCGAGACATAATTTAGAGTATACAAGGGAAAGACGTTAGGTAATGTTTTAGCGTACTATGTTACTCAGTACCTACGAGTAATATGACAAAATGGTGCCCAACGAAGACTCGAAATCCATGGTCTAGGACAAAATTATTACTTGTAGTTTAAGTAAAGCCCTTTTGTTCATGCAAGTTCAAACTTTGAATATGGCTTTCCGTGTTCAATCTCGGATCAGCTGATATAATATGACATACATATCAACATCAATGACCACTTACTTATATACCTACAGGTACACTCATGATGTCTTGTGTAATTCAATATAATTTTTATAAATATTTTGTTATGCTGTACTAAACTATAGTTTTTTTAAAAAAACAGTATTGTACCATTTGTACCTACTATTGCAGTTCAAGAACAAAAAATGTGATTTACAATACCTACTTAAAACTTTGATACGAAATTGAAATTAAAATGTGGATGAGAACAATTATGATTACAGTGTCACCATTTAGTTCTAAGAAAGAGAATTTACAATATTCGTACACACTGTAATCCATAATTTTTAAGTGACACTTCTGATTATTCTGTTTCAACCATGGTTCCTAACCAAATGGTTCAGATTTAATGATATTAAGTCAGTATGTGATAAGAATTATTATCATTTCTCAGCGTGTTAACTTTTATTACTTTTAACTTCAATACTTAGTAGTTAATACTTAACTTATAACTTACTGTTCTAACTATTAATTATAATAATTATAATTATTATTGCTATTTGTTGGTCATCAACTATAAGTGAACAGTTATCTGTTTTCTATAGTGTCAAATAATTCAATAGGTATTTAAATGTTTTAATTATTAACTAATAACTACTTATCAGTTGTATATTTTATTATTTCAACAAAATAATATTAACTAAATACTTAGGTATTTTAGTTATGACTGCACATTGATTTGGTTATTTTTCAATTTTTGTATAAATGAATATATTATTTACAGTAGAATTTTCATTTATAGCAATAATCAATACAATTTTATTAAGATGTCCAGTCTAGTTAAACATTCAATAAACAATTTAAACAAAATATGGTGTTCAAACACTATGGTCGTACGAAGTTTAAAGTCCTGGACTGGTGGTAAAAAATATGTTGGATTCACATATTATCCTAGGTAAAGTATTAATTTGTTTTCATTATAAAATATTTCATTGATTTATTTATAAATGTTCTCAGGGAAGGTGAAGTAGATCCACCATATACTCCAACAAAATTATTCATGGTTCAAAGAGTTAAACGATATTTATATAATCCGTATTGGCAAAAAAAAATATTGACTGACATGGGCTTAGATCATAAAGTAATATATTCTTATAAAATTAGTCTTAAACAATTCAGATGCTTTATAATATATCACTGTCTGAAAGCATCATTATTACTGAATAGACTCGTCCACAATTTACTTCTTTACTCATTACTATATAGTAAATCAAAAAATATTAAGAGTCGAATAATAGTGTTTTGTTATCAGTATTATTATTATTATGATTAATAATTGTGATCAAAATATAATTCATAAATACATGTAGATATTATACAATTCAAAACATTCAAAAAAATATTTTTTTTTTTTTTTGTCAAATTAAAATTTCTTATTAATTTATAATGAAAATCAAATTTAAAAAAGATATTTTAATTTAGTTTTTTGTTTAACATAGAATTATTTTTCATTGTATTTTATCAAAATGCATAACAATTCTTTTTTATAGGGTAGTGATATAGCTATTGTAAAAAATACACCAGAGATGAATGCACGGTTATGGAAAGTGAAACATTTGATAAAAATAACACCAATACAAACACCTGATGGATTGCCAGAAAAAGAAGATTATTGGGGTACACATTTAGATACTGAGGGTGTGTTTAGGATTTCCAAAAAGTTATTACCTGATATTAAGCGATTAGAAGCTACCAAAGACTTTGAAAAATTGGACAAGCGAGTAGATAAAGATACAGTAGAAAAAAATTGTCGTAATAAGTGGTTGAATCCATGGTCAACTATTGTGTAATTTAAAATTATTATTGTTTTTTGTAGTAAAATAAAATATTTAAGTATAATGTATTTTCAACTATTTTTTATATAAATTTATAGTTCAATAAAAAATTATATAATAATGTTTATGAATGAAATAAACCTAATTTTATCAATATTGTTTCTAATTTTTTCTTTTAGTAATAGTTCTTAATATAATGGTGCTTATATTTTATTTTAACTCATGTTGATATGTTATACTAATATAAAATTTCCTGTTTTTAGATATAGCTCTTAAAATCATTTATTTTACAATTAGTATTATGGCAGGTTAATTTAATTGTTGGCGAAAACATTGTATTTATGAATATTTAATTAGTTGAATTATATATTTATTATTTGTACTATACAATATAATAGATATTAACTTTTGAGTTAATTAGTTAATAGCTAATACCACTTTACTATAAAATAGTATGAATATGAAATTCATAAAATAAATATATAATATATTCAAATAAATCTATATTATATAAAAATTACATTACTTATAGCATTGATTAAAGAATAGAAGTAAAAAATGAAATTTTATATGATTATAGTAAAATTTTCAATGTATGAAAAACACAATATTACAATATTCTTACATTTTTGAAACTTTTAGCTATAAAAATAAAAAATTGCAATATGGTAAATTAGTAATCACTAAGTTCTCTAGACTGTACTGCTCTAGCTCTAATAGTCAAATGACTCAAATGTTTGTGCCTTGGCCTTTGTGGTATATTGGTATTAAGACACGGTAAAGTGATGTTTAAGCCTTGATATTAACACGTTGACTGCGGCATTTGTTGAACTGAGCGACCCCCTTGTGCGAAACATTTTTTTTTTTTTTTTGAAAAGGTTTCTTTTATTCTACTTTACTTATATCAGTGCTTACTTTTACCAAAAGGCAATGTTTAACTTTTTTACTAAAAAAAACGACTGTCAGAGCGTAGTCAACGTCAGTATCATCGAATAGCATTTTTCTTGTATGCAGGTGTCGACATGTTTGGATTTTTATTGCTACGTCGACACGCCATTATGATAAATAACATGTTGACGAAAATTACAATCGGTTGAAATGCGTAACATAATTTATAAAAATATAATTAAAATGATTTTTTATTTATAAAGTAATATATTTATTAAATATATTATTTATTATTCATGGGGTACCAACCTAATATACAAGAATATACATAAAACAAGAATACATATATAGTTTATGATAAAGACATTGGCGCCAAAACTGAAAACATTATCATTTAACCTAAAACTACAAATCAAATAAATGAATTAATGAAATTTTATTGTAGACTATAGTGTACAACCGAAAAGTATAGTATTTCAACTTTTAATTATTTGGTTTAACTACTTCAACTACTTCAACCATTAAATCACAGAAATATAGAATAGATTCTGTGATTGAATTATTTGAGATGCAACTATACAAGTGAACTAATGAACAGTGATTAAAAGTACAAAGTGTCAAGTTTACAACAGCCATATAAATAACAAAATATTAGTTTAATAAAAATTATTTCTTAGAAAGAGGAGTTATGAAATTGTACTTAACGATTTATATCCATAAATTTGTAAAAAATTAATTATTGTAAAATACGTTTAACTTATTGAGGTAATAAAGATTATATCAACTTTTAACATCTATTATATGCACAATGATGAAATCAAAACCAAATCTTCCTTGGTAAGATGTTATATTTATCTTAAAGCTTATTTTACTTTTTAATATTCTGAACTTTTTATTTTTACTGTATTATATGATCACAGGGTAGAAAAATATCGACCAAATACTTTAGATGACTTGATTTCACATGAAGACATTATTAAAACAAGTAAAACTTGAAAAAACTAATTTTATGAATTTATCAAACAAATTAATAAATATTCTGTATATTTCTATAGTTGGTAAATTCATTAAAGAAGATCAGTTACCTCATCTATTATTTTATGGACCTCCAGGGACTGGAAAAACTAGTACAATATTAGCGTGTGCCAAGCAATTGTATACTCCAGCACAGTTTCGTTCAATGGTTTGTATAATATTGATAATATTTTGGTTGTAGTTATTGTTTATTTAATTAATCATTTATTATTTTTAATACTATAAGTTTAACAAAATAAACAATTTTAGTTGTAAGTTTTAAATTTTATTGGTGGAATATTTACTATTTACTTTTGAAAGGCGATGAACAAAAAATTTGTTTCTGTTTTGTATGTTTGAATTAAAATTTGATTCTTTAAAACATATTTAGTTGTTTATCAAATTAACAAAACATTACAACTTAAAAATCTAGTAAAATATTTTTGATTAATATTATCAATTTTATAACTGTTAAAAATAATGTTACCCATAATAATAATATCCAAGCTGGACAATGATTAATTATTATTAACGAAGATAAAAAGTTTATAAAAAGTACAAACTTATTTATGTATATTTATATAGTTGTATGTATACTTTATATTATATTAAGCTGATTATAGAACTTTTTAATCTTAAACGTTATTTTTTTTAAAACTTGTCTTATTATCAACTTACAACATAACAAGTTAAACTGTCGTTCTCTTAATGTTTTCTAAAAAAAAATTAAATGTATTTTTATTCCCTTGATATAACAACATTTTTTTAACCAAAGCTTTTGTGATAAATCAAATCTTTATTATTTTAAATCTTGTTATTACAAATTTTTAATAATATAAGATACATATCTGTTAGTGTATAACAATTACAAAAAGTATAGACTAAAAATAAATAGCTTTTTACTACAGAATTTATTTTTGCAATTATCATATTATGAGAACAAAAAAATAAAAACTCATGTCAATAAATATCAAAATTAAGTCTCCGTACTGTTTAAAGTTATTTACAAAAATATGATATCAACGAAATTGTGTTTTGTAATATTTTAAATTTTGACAATACCATTGAATAAGTAAAAATATGTATACATAATAAACAATGAATACTTATTAATTAATAATGAATCATGTATGTATTTAATTTTTACTATACTAATTATTTAATTTTGAATGTTTACATATTTTGAATATTTTGATATATTTGTTTATATATACCTATGTAAATCTGTATTATTAAATGAATATGTATTTTTAGTATGTTGATTCAAATTTTGAATTTTCTTTTAAATCTCAATAAGTATAATTATTAAAACTCACCATAGTTTAAAAGCAAATATGAAATGCTTATTTAATTTTTTTCTACAAAATGTGTAAAAAGATCTACATTTTTTAGGTTCTTGAGTTGAATGCTTCTGATGATAGAGGAATTAATGTTGTTCGAGGACAAGTTATGAACTTTGCATCTACTAGAACAATTTTCAAATCTGGTTTCAAATTAATTATTTTAGATGAAGCAGATGCTATGACTAATGATGCCCAAAATGCCCTCAGAAGAAGTATATTTACTTTAAAATATTAATAATATAATTAATTTAATAAAAATGTCATGATTATTATATTTACTTTTTAGTTATTGAAAAGTTTACTGACAATGTCCGTTTTTGCTTAATTTGCAATTACTTAAGCAAAATAATTCCAGCTCTACAGTCACGATGTACACGCTTTCGATTTGGTCCACTTGATTTTAAACAAATCATGCCTCGACTTGAATATGTTATTGAACAAGAAAAGTATAGTATTTTCACTATTTTTATTATATGTTTTTTCAAATATTTATCAAAAAATTTTTTTATAAATTATTTTGATTTAATTTTTAGAGTGAACGTTACGGAAGATGGTAAAAATGCACTAATAGATTTGGCACAAGGTGATATGCGAAAAGTTCTCAATATATTACAGAGTGCTGCTACAGCATTTCCAGAAGTAAGCGAAGATTCTGTCTATACATGTGTTGGTCATCCACTCAAAAGTGATATAATGAATATTTTGAAGTGGTTGTTAAATGATGACTTTTCTACTACTTTCAAAAGTAAATCTACATTACTGCTTAAATAGCTCAACAGATATGTAAAATAAATTGTATTTTGTCATAGAAATTCAAGAATTAAAAATTCAGAAAGGTTTGGCTTTACAAGACATAATTACAGAGTTGCATACTTTTTTATATAGATGTAAGTATTATTTACAATACATCTAAAAAATTTAATACTTATTTTGTATTTATAGTGTATATAAAAATAAGTAATGAAAATTAACTAATAATGATGTTTTTAAATTTTAGTGGATTTACCACCACATTCTCTCATTGAAATACTAACCGAAATGGCTGATATTGAAGTACGTCTGAATGGTGGAACAAGTGAAAAAATTCATCTAGGTAGTTTAATTAGTGCTTTCCATATGATAAGGTCAAAATTAAAACCTGCTGATGATTGAAAACAAACTGCACAATCAAGTATTTCTAATTAAAGTATTTTATTCTTAAGATAGAATTTTTGTTTTTATTCATAATTTGTATCATGATTATAAACATGTAAATATATCAAAAAATAAATAAATAAATCATAATTTATTATTATAATTTTTGTTCATATTATGTACACAAAATAATAAAATAATTTCCATACAAAAATTACTGAATTAAATAACTATACTTTAATTTGTAAATATATGTATATATATTTATATAATAATAAAAATAGTATAATATATTATAGTATTTAATGTAATAATTTATAAAAATTTCAATAAATAAGTATTATTAAATAGGAGGTAAATTATTAAAATTGTTACAATGGTTTCATTAAGTATTTATTTGTTGGATGGAAAATCTTAACTTAACTTAAAAGCTGAGTGTCTTATAGCTTAGAGATCGTATATTGGCTATAATAATTCATTATTTATTATTTGGGAATCAGGGGTTCTTCGATAGGAATTAGGTTATCCAAACATGTTGCTGACAAAGTTATTGAAACCAGATGTAATACTTGATAATATTCCAGTGTCTTGAGTCGGTTGTTTAGGTGCCAATGCTATACCTTGTGGATGATGATGATGATAGAAATGAGGAACTGGCTGTCTGTAAGGTGTGTTATCTTGTCTCTGAAAGTGCATTTATAACAATATCGTTAAAAAAAAATAAAATAAAGATGTGTTTATATAATCTACATTATGAATTTAATAAATTATGTAAATCAAAAAATCAAAAAGGTTAAATTAGTAAATCAGAAACATTAACACACATTACCATTGATAAAAATACCAGTATTTATAATCAATGGTATTACTTACAAAATATCATTGAAGTCGATATAGAAACTTCAAACTCAAAATCATTTAGAATTAGGGAATTTTATTCTTGTATCTGTAGTAGTAGTAGTAACAGTAGCAGCAGTAGTAGAAGATAATGCAGACATTGTATTTTGCCTTAGAACCTGTAACCACTTGCTTTTTGTACATGTGTGCAAAGAATAATAGTTATAGAAAAGAAATTTGCAATATTCACCAGTTATTATCATCAAGTAGGAAGATGTTAATTCAGAAATCATTCTACATGCAAGTTATTAAAAGCAAGGTGACATAAAATTAACCAATTAATGTTAGCCACTGCTAAGTATAAAACAATATAATATGTAAATATTAAATACAAATTATATTTTATTTAAGTATCAAATATTTTAAACAGTTTATTCACAAATTTTAAATTCACAAGTTCTATGTAATATTATTATGATGCATTCGATACAGTATTTGTAATGGTGTATGTAATTTATATAAAATTAGCAAGTTACTCATAAAAAATGTTCACATTTGTTAAATATATTATAACCATGATACATAAAATATATTTTTTAAACAACACAAAACACAATTTCATTGATAATTATACATGTAGGAAAAAATATTTCTATTATATTTTATACCATTTTAAATCGTTATAGGTATTTTAGACATTTCAAATGCAAAACTTTTTATTTTTCTAGTGTAATACATGTTCAAAAATGTAATTTACCAATTTGAATGCCTTATATTTTTCTATTTTTAGTCATAAATGTATTATTTTTATCACCTTTAATTTAACCTTTATTTTTAACTGCCTATGCAGTTTACCTTATAAATTAATTAAAACATTAAACAATTAAAATAATACAATACTGATATTATTTTTGGATATGCACAGATTTAAAAAATTAATAGCAGATAATTATGACAAAGACAAAATTACTAGGTACTCAAAAAAAGTGTTTACTAAGGTCATTCGTCAAATTTATTCAAGTCCATAAATATACGAGTATCAATTGTTAAAACAAAAAGTATTTCGAGAAGATACCTATAACTATAATTATTAGTTTCCCTCATTTATTAAAATAGCAGAAATGTTTTGTTAAACCATCATTTTTATTAAACATAATGGTTTTTTTCAGATTCATATTATTTTATATAGGTAACGTTGTATTACGGAACGGGTACTAAATAAAACAATGTTATTGAAATAATATTTGTACCTACACCTTAACGTTATGTTAAATTAGTAGTTGGTGATACTTTTTTTCGTTCTAGAAATTATTTTAAACTTGTAATGGTTAAATATTTTTTTTTTCATATTATTTAGTGCAAATGTTAAAAAATACAAATTTTTGACAATATTTAAATCAAACTACTGATGATACTTGAAAAATTTTTTTTAGCTCTTATAGCAGTTTTCACCAGTAAATTAATTAGTCTAAGCCGTTAAAGAAGCAATTTTAAGAAGCATTTAAAATATTTAAGAACTTTTAGTAACTTTAGCTCTCTCACATAAAACGTTCATTAATGTATACGTATACTTAAAAGTTAAAGGTACATAGGGCAATAGTAAATTTTCAATATTCCAAATTATCTACTCAGCTCAGACAACATTAGTTGTAGAACGTCGTGCCCTCATATGTTAACTTTACCTTACTAACATAGGTAACATTCGAAAATATACATTCAACAGTTTCAATTTTGCGTTATGTTTATTATGATAAAGTGAATTGACCAATCATGAACTTAAGAGTAAAGACATTGGCCATCTGGTTCTCTTCTGTTTGATTTTTATGACATTTGTTTTAATTTTTAAGCAATTCGTAAATTACTTTTACTTCAATTGATTTATAAAAACTAAATTAGGTATCGTCAAAATCTAACGAAAGAGAATACGTATAATGTTCATTTTTTTTTTTTTTTTCATAGTACCTAGGTCAATCGTTATTTGCTCTAACATTAAAGCTAACAACTCAGAATTGTGACTGCCAACCATCATTAAAACAGATACTATACGGCGAGTACCGCTACGTCCTTTCAACGTCATGCATAATATAATATACAATATTAATTAATCGCGAAAAGCAGTTATTTGCGAATCCCGGAAATAAGCACGACCGCCACCAAGGCTACGGTTCTCGCGTGCCAGCTGCGCGACGTCGAACGCGCGTCGCTGCTATAAACCCGTAGCCCGTCGCGCCAGTTCCTGCTGAAATTCAGGGATGCACCCCGGATGGAGATTGTCTCGTCCCGGGTGATCATCCAAGGCGGTTGCCAGGGTTTTAGACGGGGCTTGTTGGCCGACGGACCTACCTTGGACGTGTGCAGTGTTACGTTCAACAGCGTGGGGTGTTGCTCCACGACCATGAAGTCCATTTCCTTGGGTATGTATCCGTCTCCGTAGATCTAAAATCACACGAAACGGTCGATGTATTATAATGTATGTATGTTGTGTCGGAAATGGAGATTTATGGAGGAGGTTTTTATGGGAATGTATGATTTTCCCAACATGAGTTTTCGTTATTCACCGTCTTGCTGCAGGTATATTATCTCTGCGAGAAAATTACGTTTATAGGTATACACAAGTTTTTGTATTTTCGGTGTGATCGGTTTAACGTGATGATAACATACGAATAAGATGAGTGTTTTACGGTGAATCGCATGTTTCTAAATAAATGCATAATGTAAGTTTAAAGTCACATATTTTATAAAATAAGTATCTAAAATCATTTTTAGTTAAATTCTACGAAGCAAATGTTTTTTACAACAATAGTTCAATGGTATTACTTGGGTCTAGGACTAATGTGTATTGTGTATACCTCAAAGTTAACTTATTTTAGTTAGTTTTTTACGTAATGTGTAGAACAACATATTTTGTGAATAAAAATATAGTTCTAAAAATAAAAAATGTTGGAAATGTGGGTATTATAATGTTAATGTGTATGTTGTTTTATAATTGTATATAGATAATATAAGTTATATTTTACTTACTTCAAGCTTGTAAACGCCAGGTAACAATATTCTCCAGAATTCACCATACTTGGTCGTTTGGAATCCTACGTCACGACCCTTGATCTTAAGAGACGCTTTTTCGATCGGGTTACCATGTTCGTCCATCACGAACCCGTGGACACCCCGATGAGCTTCGGCCAAGAATTTAACGAGTGACTAAAAAAAAAAATTGTTAGAAATAAATAAATGCATATTAGACACGGTGATATCATCAACACTATGATATACTATACATCCAATGCATATTTAACGAAGTATTGAATGTATTATTATGGTCATACCAATCGGTTTTCTTCCCAGAGTTTGGGCAGCTCGGAAGTAGGTGGGTATTTACAACAAGATAATTCCAATGTCACTTCCATGCAACCGTACCAAACGTAATTGAAATCTTGCATACCTCCTACGTGATTAAATAATAATATTAGATTAAATTAAAATATAATATTAAGAATAAAAATAAATAAATAAAAAATATTGACATTTGACAATAATAATTGTATGTTCATGATATTTAATATGTTGAAAAAAATTAACGAAATATGTATATTACGATGTTACTAAATAAACAAGTAGGTACACTAACAAATTATTTAAATCTGATCGTAGGTAATGAAGGAGTTTAGTTCCATTCTCAACATTATGTTATAAAAAAAAGTTAAGACAATTTACAAATTTTAAGGGGTCTTGTATAGGCAGTTCTAACTTCTAACAGAATGTAAATGTATTATTGACGATTCTATACATTATTATTTATTTTCAAAGTAATTCACTAGAGATTCCGTGTTAATACTGATTTCAATCATTTAAAAGGATAAAATAGATTTACGAGAACTATTTTAATAGTACGTTAACGTAAATATTTTTATCATATCAATAAATATTTATTTTTAATTATTTCAAAATGTTGTAAATTTAAAATCTGAATCATATGTGATTGAAAAAAAATAATAATAATTATAATAATAAAAAAATAATGTCATTTAATACAACCTCATCTCTAGATTATTTTGATAAAAAGAAAACGCCGCAACTGCGTTTATTTTACTAATAATGCATTTTTAATATTCGTAGTGTTTTAATAGGTTTTTAAACGAAATCAATATAGATAGAGTTGATAGATTATATAAAAAAAGTAGGTTTTTAAAATTTTAATGTACTTTTAATACCGCTGCAGTTGCCATTTTTTTGTAAAATAATATTTAGAGTGAAATCGATTATTAAATAGGATGTAGAAAG